TGAAAGCATATCACGTTCCAGTAATAGTCTTCATGTAAACTGGGAAGTGAACCTTTGTCTTAAACAGAGATTATTCTCAAGTTATAACTTTATTGTATTATAAATCGTTGGTTTAAAATATATAACACGTGTATGCTGAAAACGTTTTCTTTGAAGAATTTGGTTTTCTATAAATGGAATTCTAGGGTACAATGAAAACATTTCGAATTTCATGTTTCACATTATCGTCAATAACACACCGTATTGACGTAACCAAACATAATGAAATCCAACCTAATCTAATTAAACCTAAACCTAAAGTAACCTTAACCTAGCCTAACCATGTAGATAATAGCACTAATTGTGTAGTCTCAATTCATTCCTGTGAGTGCCAAGTCATGTGGGACTATTAGGTAATGACATTGCAGACGAAGCTGCAAAACTTGCTACTAAGAGGAGGAATGTAGACATTTCCATACCACCGAGTCTCTCCCAGATGAAGAAAGTGATTCGAAACAGAGCAATGCGTAGGCTGTACAGTGACCTCGACGCAGCAGTTGCAACATCAGGATCTGCGGGTTGGTACAAGAATTCCACCAACTACGAACCACTTAGTTTGATGAAAGGGGGCGGTAGAACAACAGAAGTGCACTTACATCGCATCAGGCTTGGATACCCATGTGCATGGGAAATAGGCTTACGGGTTCCGGAAGGTGAGAGGAAATGTCAACACTGTGGAGAAATGCCCGACAGACCACTGGAACATTATCTACCACAGTGCACAGTTACAAACCCGTTAAGATTTCACCTTCGATTCGACAGAGCAGAGGAAGTTGTTAAACACATATGGCAAAATCTTACTGAAGCGACCATACGGGTCATACATACTCATCCTCCGCCCAGGTAAACCAGAAACGAGCATCACTTAGTGGGCCAGCCAGAGGCTTAGGGCCCGCGCAGGATTATCCCTGCTAAAAAGAAAAAAAAAAAAAAAAAAAAAAAATTCCTGTGAGCATATTTCCTCCCTGCAGTCAGATATGATAGAGCCCAGTAGGCTCAGGAACCTGTACATCAGTTGATTACCGGTTGAGAGGCGGGACCAAAGAGCCGAAGTTCAATCCCTGCAAGCACAACTAGCTAAATGCTCACACAAACATTGGGGCCTCGCGGCTGAATGGACAGCGCTCGGGGGTAGTAGTCCTAAGGACCCGGGTTCGATTCCCAGCCTATGTAGAAACAAATGGGCCGAGTTTATTTCACCCTCATGCCTCTGTTCACCTAGCTCTGTGTGTGTGTGTGTGTGTGAAACAACAAAATTAGTAGTTAGTAAAAGTTGATTGACAGTTGAGAGGCGGGACCAAAGAGTCAGAGCTCAACTCCCGCAGACACAACTAGGTGAGTACAGGAGGAGAAATGAGGGATGTAGTGCAAGCTGCATGCAGCCCGTCCATATCAACAAAGGCCTAAGCTCGTTAATCCAGCTGCCAAACCCGCTGTTTATGAATGAAACAACCCATCCTCGACTCAAATCCATTACATCCAGAGGTCGACCCCACAGAAGCAGTCATAAATTTTAACATGCATTTTAGCATTTTAACAATTTTAGTCATTCAAAACGGGAATTTTCTCAAATATAAATTAATATTATATTATATTAGCATATAGTGTATATATAGGCATAGGATAGGTGTTTAAGTTCTGTTGGCGATTATTTGTATTTGTAGTTCGTGGGTGAAGCATTTACTGCGTTGTGGTACGAACAAAATTCGTCAGTGAAGCACTTGTTCCGGAAGTGTTCGAACGTCATCAGTTGTGAGTCGTGCAGCCCGTCCACCAGCCCGTCCTCCAGCCCGTCCACCAGCCCGTCCACCAGCCCGTCCACCAGCCCGTCCACCAGCCCGTCCACCAAACAAACACCCAAAAGTGATTCCATCCACCCGCCAAACCCTCAGCTGTTTATGAATGAAAAACGGTTTACAAACGGTTTGACTCACAACTGCTGACGTTCGAACATATCCGGAACAAGTGCTTCACTGACGAATTTTGTTCGAACCACAACGCTGTAAATGCTTCACCCACGTACTACAAATACAAATAATCGCCAACAGAACCTAAACTAACCTAACTTACACCTAACTATACATATAAATTTAATATATATAATAATATTACTATATAAATGAGAACAACCTTATTGTTAACATTCATTACATGACAAATTTATGAATTCGTCTCGGGGGACTGGTGCAGGTATAACGAGCCAGACCTGAGGACGGGTAGTTCAGTGACCTATAATGAGCAGTTCCCCAGGTTAACTTTGTATTTATTTATTTATGTATTTACAAGAAGTTGCATTGGGTTTGTGAGGGTACATAACATGGTCCCAAGGTCCGCTGATGGGTACGTTCTTACAGTCTTCTAAAGCCACTAACACACATTGCGTTTCGAGCAGAAACGGTCAGAAACTAGTGAGGGGGGAAGGGGGTGTTGTAGGGTGATTTGGAGAGGCCGCCCCAGCGCCCTAGTCGACGGCCTCGCTGCTCGAGACCCTTTGGTGCTGCAGGCGAGGACACTCTCCAGCAATCAGTAGTGGAGTGCTTGCCTCTTGTGGTCTATCCTTTTGCCAAATAACAAACTGATGTGTGATAGAGGTGCAGAGAGCATCGATTTTGATGCTGGTGCCAGTACTAGCAGCATTGGCAGTAATGCTAGCAGTGCTGTGGTCATCTACACCGAGGCCTCTGGGGCCAGTACTAGCAACAGTGCCACTATAAGTAATGCTAGCAGTTCTGAGGTCTACATAGAGCCCTCTGAGTCCAGCCGTGCCTTACAGCCCAGTACCTTTGATGTATGGTAAGTCACTTCAAAGGTTTATTAGGTTGATTAGCATTGCTTTAGTCAGCGCACTGTGGCGGACTGATGTTGGTGAGAGCTGCGACCAGTCGTGTGCTGGCCTCGCCTTGTTCATACGTAACCTCAGCCATTGTCGATCTGATTGCAACCCGTCCTCTTAAAAATAACATCGCCTTTGGCTCGTGTTCGCGCTATGGCCGAAAGTGGACGTAATTTGAAATGGAAATCTGCTCACGAAAGTGACGTACTGCCCGGCTGCAATACATCATTTACCAGAGGTGAAGACTGGGTGTATTTCTTGTAACACTAAAGCTTTTCATAGGCAAAAAGGGCAGTTTTAATTATTTTGTCGGTTAGCCCATGTTTTACACTTGGGGTAATGGGCACAAACTCCCCCTTCCCCGGTCTGTTATCTGGAATAATTATTTAATATGGACAAATGAGTGGGGGGGGGAACCGTGTATAATTACAAGATAAATATTTAATCGTGTAAATGAATGATTAAAACACTGACATATTATTGACGATTAAATGATTTTTTGGCTTGTTTGCAAATCTTTCAATGACTATAGAATTTTTTTCATAGCTCATGGTAAGCCTTATACTACTAGTTTTACACAGGAGGGTACAGGAGCAGACGACTGCTGACTCCTGTTCGTTGTGTACTACTCTGGATATGACGGGCTAAGCCAGATAATGTATAAAGAATATATAATCTTCTCACTATGGGACCCTTAACAAAATCATTGAATAAAATATCTTGAGTCACTCGCTAAAGGACACTGTTGTGGTTGGAAAAAAAATACTAATTATTGCTGGCTTCATATATACTAATGTCAATACAAGTCATAATGGTAAAGTCGTGAACAGGAACACATTATTCTTTACCGTTTTAATTTTACCACATGGGTGACTGGACCATTCTCAAGTAGATTGTAAGAACCACAATCGACTTGAGAATGGTCCAGGACGGGCCGAAACGTCGTCGTCCCTTCACCTTCTAGTGTGTGGTCTGGCCAACTTACTTTAGCCACGTTGACTCAATGCCTGCATAAAGAAACGGTAGACTTTTTATGTAGTTAAATGCGAAATATTCGGGAAAAACGCAGATAGGACGAAAAGGTCTCGATCCCCGACCATTATTAACATGAGGGGTCGGTAACGTGGCTAAAAATCGACTTGATAATTGTCCAGGACGGACCGGAACGTCGTCTCTTCACTTTCTAGTGTGTGGTCTGGTCAACATTGTTGTTAGCATTGACTTGTGTCCTATAATTTCCCGAGGAAAACCTGTGAAGTGACAACACCTGTCGTAAGTCCCTCCCAACCACTTTGATTTGTCGGTATAACAACGGCTTCACTTCTTGCTGGTTGGCGTTCTATCCCCCGCTGGTCAGTGATTGGGCACCGTTCTTTCTCTCGGTATAGATCGTTGTTCTCGCATCACTTCAGTCTCGACACTCGTATTGGCTGAACTTATTCTCCTGATAATTATTTAATCATAAATTCACCGTTATATGGATATATTCTTTCCAACTATGGATAAACAATCGCTGACATGGAGGAGACAGTAATTATGAAGAGTGAAGTCACTGTGTAGCACTGTGGGGGGGTTACTGGAGGGGAGGTGGAATGGTGTATGGTGAGCCCGTAGTGGACATACCTGGCACAGGAGCGGGGCAAGTAGCACGGGCTATGGTGAGCCCGTAGTGGACATACCTGGCACAGGAGCGGGGCAAGTAGCACGGGCTATGGTGAGCCCGTAGTGGACATACCTGGCACAGGAGCGGGGCTGTATATGGGTTGTCAAATAATAAGGGAATATATATATTAGTCTCTTGCACCTCGCTGGCAATAGGAAAGACAAAACCATCACTAGGGAAACACCGCACCAGTCTCCACCCAGACCACTCTAGCTGCCACTGTAACAAAAAAAATATAGTGGGACAGTTTTGACTGTATTCTGCTTAAAACAAACTAGCCCAAGCAACCCTCCTAACCCAACGAGGTCGATGCATAGAAGACGTCAGTATTACGCCAGTAAAACTTATTTTATTACCGTAAAAAAGTCTTCAGTAGTATGTTAGTCATTTTAAATTGTGCAAAAAAAATTTGTTCATAGACTTAATTTAATGTTTTTGTATTTGTTTCTTGACCCCGGGGGGCAGGAGGTGCTGTAACCAGTTGACGCAGCCACAGACCCCGCTCAGGATAGTGAGGGCCAACTACCAGTACCTGTACGACTACCCCAACAACCAGTACCTCGACTGTGTCAGCAATGTCGCGCACGGTGAGTCTGTGTCGTGTGCTTCTGTCTGTTGTGTCAGAGTGGCGTTTGTGTCGTGTGGGGTGTGTTCCCTTGTGTGTGTATTCGTCCCCAGCTTGGTCTCCCCTTGTAGCCCCCCCACGTTCGTCCCCAGCTTGGTCCACCCTCGTAGCCCCTCCCCCACGTTCGTCCCCAGCTTGGTCCACCCTCGTAGCCCCTCCCCCACGTTCGTCCCCAGCTTGGTCCACCCTCGTAGCCCCTCCCCCACGTTCGTCCCCAGCTTGGTCCACCCTCGTAGCTCCCCCCCCCCCCACGTTCGTCCCCAGCTTGGTCCACCCTCGTAGCCCCTCCCCCACGTTCGTCCCCAGCTTGGTCCACCCTTGTAGCCCCCCACGTTCGTCCCCAGCTTGGTCCACCCTTGTAGCCCCCCCCCCCCCGTTCGTCCCCAGCTTGGTCCACCCTTGTAGCCCCCCCCCCCGTTCGTCCCCAGCTTGGTCCACCCTTGTAGCCCCCCCCCCCGTTCGTCCCCAGATTGGTCCACCCTTGTAGCCCCCCCCCCCGTTCGTCCCCAGATTGGTCCACCCTTGTAGCCCCCCCCCCGGTTCGTCCCCAGCTTGGTCCACCCTTGTAGCCCCCCCCCCGGTTCGTCCCCAGCTTGGTCCACCCTTGTAGCCCCCCCCCCGGTTCGTCCCCAGCTTGGTCCACCCTTGTAGCCCCCCCCCCGTTCGTCCCCAGCTTGGTCCACCCTTGTAGCCCCCCCCCGTTCGTCCCCAGCTTGGTCTACCCTTGTAGCCCCCCCCCCCCCGTTCGTCCCCAGCTTGGTCTACCCTTGTAGCCCCCCACTTTCGTCCCCAGTTTGCGAAATGTGCTCCACCCCTGCAGGACCCCCCCCCCCCCACCCACCCAGTCATAAAAGCTACTCTAAAGTATTCGCCATCATTTTAATATTTCGCTGACATTCTCATTAAACAGTTCCTTTAATCAAACAAAATGTGCTGTCTTTATTTTTTTTGAGGGTCGACTTCTCAGATAGTATACACGGGCTATGTGTGTATTTATGTATGTGTATATATACATTCATACACTGACTATATGTAATGGTTATAGGTTAATATATTTGGTCAAGTAGGGTAAACTGCGGTCTTGAAAGATTTAGTTGATGTGCCTTGAACTTACTCCAGTGTGTCTTACGCACAACCTCGTATTATCTGGCTAACCTTTGTAGATTAAATGACTACAGTGTGACTATTGATTCAATAAATAAATTAAGCGTTAAGCCAGCACGCAGCCTATGACATGTACACTATATAATGCCTTGATTGTTTTCTCATGAGAAAAACGCATATTTTTAACAGTTGGACACTGCCATCCAGCCGTGGTTAGGGCCATGGGGGCTATGGACACCGCTTTTACCTGCTCTGTGTGGGATATTGACTACGGTGAATTTCAGTACCCGAAAGAACTTCAGAAAATTCTGCCAGAGGAGTTGGACACATTACTCTTCTGTGATTCAGGGTAAGTCAATAACTGGTTCCTCAGTATCCTTGATTTGTCATTACAAAAATGGTGGATAAGGATTAGTTTCTCGTCATCTGTGTCTAAGAGTTTCATGCGAGATCTTCAACGACTCGTAAGGCCTCTTTAAGATATTCTTCTTCCACAGCCAGGCTTTTTTTGTGTGATTGAGCGGTCAGGTTGTTCTAGGTAGCGGCCCGCAGCTACACAGCCGTCAGAATACGATGGTTTGGTACGTTCAAGGACCAGAGACCAAATTCACGAAGCACTTACGACCCTCTATACCTTTTCTCAATCTTTGGCGGCTTTGTTTACAATTATTAAACAGTTAATAAGCTCCGAAGCACTAGGAGGCTGTTTATAACTAACAGTTGATTGGGAAATTTTCATGCTTGTAAACTGTTTAATAAATGTAACCAAAGCCGTCGAAGATTAAGATGTAGAGGGTCGTAAGTGCTTGCCTAACAGCTTCGTGCATCTGGCTCCAAGTCTAATAGTGTCAAAATTTCCAACCATTGTTCATACTGATGTACGGCGGTGTACACTCCTGGAAATCACTAATTTATTGGGGGAAAGTAATGATAAACGTCGGGGTGAAAGTAGAGTGCAACCTCCCAAGATTTTATTACATATTTGGCTGTCGGTCTGTGATTTACCTGAATTTACCCGGGGAAGGGGTGGGGGGGGGACCATCTTGTGGCCACAACTTTGACAAGAATCCGGCGGCTTGATTTTGAACTACTGTACAATGTCGCGCGTGGAATTTACCTCCTTGGCGGGATATTTGCCCTCTATACATTCGCCCACACCCTATTCCTCCTAGCACATATCTACACCTGCAGGAACCACCACCCGCTCACCAACACACCCGCTCACCAACACACCCGCCCACACGCCCACCAACACACCCGCCCACACACCCACCAACACCCATTGTGTGGGTTATTCTGAGCTCAGTCTCCTGGACCTCAGGTGCATATATCTTTAAAACAAATGCCATATTTCTTTGCTTTAAACCTCATTGGTTAATGGGAAAAGTAGGATCCCTATTGAAATTGGATAATGTAGCTCAATTATATATATTTTTGTTATGGTACGCCTTGGCAATAAACAGGTACCTGGGATGTAGAAGACTGTTGTGGGCAGCATCCCGGAGAAGGTAAGTTGGTATATTTTCCAGGGGAAACTTCTAAGCCTAACACAGTTAATGTTCACTTTTGGAAACCACGAAACAGAGCGTCCTTTCAGTATTAGAGTACCATCAGACCGTTATTAAATATATATGAGATTGATTTTGGTTAGCATTTTGAGTTCCTCGTCATATTGAATTTGTTTAAAAAACCTGCATGTGACAATTTTCTTTTAGATTAAAATATATATAACCTGGTGTTTTATGGTATTGTTTCTTTGCAATAACTGGAATTAATCTCCAAACTGACACGAGGGCTGCCACACTCGTACACTAGCATAGTCATAAAGGAAGATGCTGGACATAGTAATCCACGGGAAATTATTTTTAGGCATTCATGTGCGAAACAAATGCCCAAGATAGTACTGTACCATAAATATTAGTGAAACGTGGCAGGGTCGCTCCGTAGAGTTTGCCGCAGTGGTCCAACCCCTCTGGAATCCAGCTGTATTTTAGGTACATGAAAACTTAGTGTATCTTACAGAATCTAGACCAGGGGTGGGCACCCTCTGGCACGCGTGCCAAACTTGGCACGCCAATGACTTGTCTCTGGCACGCAAGAGCATAGGTTACCCTAAGCACAGATTTGTCTTCATGCAAGTTTTTATTCTATTTGTGTTGATGAAAGTACAGACATTACATCATCAGCTAGGCTAGCCATATATTCTAGATTTTGTAGGGATGATGAAGTATGTGAAGAGATGGTTGCTCTTGCATCACTACCTGAGCGTACTACCGGGGCTGAAATATGTAAAACAGTTGTGAACGAATTCTCTACTCGGCAAATTGACATTTCAAAAGTAGTATCCGTCACAACAGATGGTGCCCCAAACATGACTGGTGAGAAGGCAGGATTTGTAAATCTGTTTGCAAAAAGTGTTGGTCATCCACTGATTGGCTATCATCGCATCATACATGAGGAGGCTTTGTGAAAAAGCTGGCCTAAAGGAACTGCAAGAAGTGATGCAAACAGTTACCAAGGTTGTTAATTACATTTGTGGTCGGCCTTTAAATAAGACAATTTCAAACTCTACTGGATGAGGTAGAATCTGTGTATAAAGGACTGAAAATGTGCAACCATGTTCGTTGGCTTAGCAGAGGCTTGGTTAAGAAACGATTTATTGAAGGCTTAGATGAGATAAAGTTCTATTTGAAGGACCAACAAGTGTCATACCATGAATTTTCTGACATCGTGTGGGTTTGTAAACTGATGTTTTTTGCAGATTTTTGTGAACATTTAAATGAATTGAATATTAAGTTACAGGGCGCTGGTAAGACACTTCATGTTGTGTTTTGTTACATAAAAGCTTTTGAAATGAAGCTTAAAGTTTTTAAGAGGGATGTAGATAATGAGAGATTTAGATACTTTCCAAACCTAAAGAGGTACATCAGTGATCTAAAAGATGACAGAACAGACCACAAATGTCTTCAAAAGCTGTTTGTAAACATTATCGAGTCAACAGTTTGGCAGTTCTCTACAAGATTTGCCAAATTCAGAGAACTGGAAGACACAGTAAAGTTCATAAAGTTTCCAGACAGCATCAAAATGGATGAATTAAACTTGCAAATGTTTTCATGGATAGACATGGATGATTTTGAGATGCAGTTGATTGAATTTCAGAGTAGCTCAATTTGGAAGCAGAAATTTGTTGACCTTAGAGTTGACTTGGAAAATATTGAAAGAGAGAGATTAGAGATGAAAGTAACAAAGAGAAATGCGGAAAACGAAGTATTAAGGACTTGGAATACTATTCCAAAAAATTATGTCCGTTTAAAAAACCTTGCAACAGCATTGCTAACCATGTTTTCGTCTACATATCTTTGCGAATCTTTGTTCTCAATTATGAACTTTAAGTCTCGTAACAGGAGTAGCATGACAGATGAAACTAGCGCTGCATGCATCTCTCTCAATGTTACTAAATATAAACCCGATGTAAAATCTGTCATCAGTTATGCAGCAGCAGAAGTCTCACTGACAGTATATAAAAGGAGTCAACAAGTTTTTTATGTTGTATTCTATTAGTCACAAAAGCTTAAAGGCTGTTGAAATGTACTTCTGAAGGTTAAATAAATTTGTTCTGTTTTTTTTATACTATGTTTTACTGCACTGAGGTAATTTATTATTTTTTCGTTTAAAAAGTTCTTAAGAGATACCAAATATGTTCTAAAAAAAAAATGGTTGGCACGTGGAAAAAGTTTGTGTCAGAGACTTGGCTGATTTTGGCGCGCACTCTCAAAAAGGTTGCCCACCCCTGATTTAGACAGAAAAGGGAAGACTGTTGAAAGGGGACTCTGATAGTTTGTTTACAGATGTGTATTAATGTATAACAATTTTTTTGCATTGCAATAATTCTTCTAATTATCAAAAGGCACCAAACCGGGAAAGCTATGTAACATATAATTCTACTAAATTTGCGAGTACTTTTCCAGTGTGATTATAACTTCCGTTCTGGAAACGGTGAAATGGATGATAGTGAATAGATAGGTTGGTGCATAACGATTCATATAATTTACATATTCATCACTGTTCACTTTCTTGTATTCTCATATTCAGTGTTTGCATGATATTTATATAATTGCATGGTGATATTTATATAATTGCATGGTAATTATTGATCAACTTCAATGGTAACAATTCACAACATAAATGAGAATTGTGCAATATATATTGGAAATTCTATTAATTGTTAAGACTAGTTTAAACAAACTCGGTGATGGAGAAAAAAGCAGACCATATGTTATCAAGGGGGGGGGGAGGGCCTTCAAATTAATATTACAAATTTATGTCGGTTTGACAGGTCCGAGGCGGTTGACCTTGCCCTGCAACTCTCCAGACTCTCAACGTCTGGCACAGACGTGATTGTGGTTAACCATGCTTTCCACGGAGCTCTAGATTCTGTCCACCAACTTTCTGCAAAGATCGACCAATCTAAGAGTCGACGTGAGTTTTTAATCGGCACTATAAAGTTATTATTTTTAAATCTTGCTTTTGTAGCGACAGTATTGTAATTTATTAATCTTGTGTATCATACATAATCATATGTTTAAATTATATCGATGGAAAATATTGTAGTACTTTGTGTTTAATTCGCTTCTTTTCATTCTTGACAGCAAAGGCAGATTGGGTGCATTGTGTGGCCCTGCCTGATCTCTACAGAGGCCAATACCAGAGTAATGATCCACTAGCGGTTGACAAATATATAGCTGATGCAAAACGTGTAATGGATTCGGTCGTACAAGAGGGAAAGAAGGTCGTTCTTTTGTTTAAAATTTGATATTTCATTGAATTAAGTTTTAAAGCATATATTTAGTTCATCTCATTTGGATCTGTTGCTGCATGGCCTGCATAAATAGTACTGTACTATGCAGTACAAACAGCATGAATAGTGACTTTGTGCCAAAGTCAAATTATATGGGTTGTGGCCTTCAGGTAAATACAGGGAACACACACACACACACACACTAGTGGCCTCGACAAGGGCCAGAAGCCAGCGGCTTGTCAAGGACCTCCCCCTCCCCCCCCCCTTCCCATTTGCCCGGATTTTTTCCAGTTGGATTTTAAAATTTAACAATTTTGGCATTTACAGCTTTAGTGGGTTAGCAGTTCCGTGAATTTATAACCATAAAGGTGAAAAAGCATCTCCTGGTTTCAGTTCTACATTTTGGCTTGAGCTTGAAACTTTCTCCTGCTCCTTGTTAATGTTACATCTAAACTTTTAAATAAGTGGTCTGGATCAATATCCTCTATATTGTTCAGTATTTTAAGCTTCAATGAGATCCGCCCAGTCATGCCTGGTTTGCAGAGTTGTTAGCACTGTGGCCCTCAACCGTTCCTGGTGTGAGAGCTGACATGGCTCTGGAATTATTTTTGTGGCCCGGTATTGAACTGTCTCCAGAGCAGCTATGTCCTTCTGAAGATGAGGTTTCCATGCTTGGATACAATAACCCAAATTAGGGAGCACCAGAGATTTGTACATTTGAATCGAAACCGTCTTTTCCTTAATGTCAAAGGTACGCTTGATTATTCCTAGGGTTTCGTTAGTTTTTTATTTCTGCTGCTCCTTCATTTTGTGCAACTTTCAGTGAATGGTGGACTTTTACTCAAGGGTCCTTTTGATAAGGTATCACATGGAAGAATGACAAGGAATTACAAGCGCGTGGAATAAATGGTAGTATACTAAATTGACAAAAAGATAAAATAAATAAATAAATAAATGTTTATTCAGGTAAGGTATATACATACAAGTGATGTTACATTAATGGATTGATATATAGATAGAGCTAGTACATACAATGCCTAAAGCCACTATTACGCAATGCGTTTCGGGCAAAAATGCGTTTCGGGATGGTTGTCCTAAATAGAAATAAATCTTGCTGAAGAAATGGGATGAGTAGGGTACTGCAAGGTTCCATTTTGGGGGTCCAACTCTTGTCGTGTAAGTCATTGACATGTATGAAAATATTATAAACTACATCAAATTTGCAGATAACACATGGTAAAGTCTGAAATGAAAGTGATGTAGAGGCCTGGCAAGAACTTCACAAATGGTTGGAATATTAGCAAAAAAACTTATCTTTTGGCATAAGAATGCACATCACAATTGCCAAATAAAAAACTATCTTGCAGCATGATGATGAAGGGACCTCAGTCAGAATCACCAGTTACTGAAAGTTGCAAAAGTTGTACATTAAGTGGAAACTGCAGTTACAAAAAATATATCTACCAAACCCTAGGAACAGACTAACATTTTGACTTTAAGGAAAAGTAGTTATTCAACTGTACAAGTCTCTGGTATGCCCCCATTTGGACTCCTATGTTAAAGCATTGAGACCCCTTCTTTAGAAGGACATATACTGAATCTGCTTCGGCGAAGTTCGACCGGGTGACAAAAATCGTCCCATATCAGAAATAGTTGAGGGCCACATGGCTAACAACAATGCAAACCAGATATGACAGGGCTGATCTTGTCAAAACTTATAAAATGCTGAACAACTTGGAGGATATTGATCTAGACCATTTCTTTGAAAGGTCAAATGTAATGCAAACAAATCAACAATAACTTAAAAGTTCACACATTACAGTTACAGTTTAGGACAAAAAAGTTTTCTTACCATAGGGTTATAAACCCATGGAACTGCTTACCTGCCAAAGCTGTAAGTACCAAGACATTGCTGCAGTTAAAAATCCAGCTGGATAAGGGTAAGCTCCCAGTAGTACAGTCAAGTTCGTTCTCGACTCTCAATCAGGAAATCGTAGTTCAAATATCAGACAGAACAGAAATGGTTGGGAGGGTTTCCTGTAACCTAATGCATCTGTTCACCTAACAATAAATAGGTTCCCAGGAGTTAGCTTGTAGTCGGGTTGTACCCTGGGGAAGGGTTAGTAATTTGATCCTGGTGGGAGGGGGAGGAGGTATTGACTTCAATACAAGATTAATGTGTATACCGTGTATACACTGGCTGCCTGTCCCCCCAACACAATGATTTATTTATTAAAACATCATCAGGGAAAATGGTATCTGACAAACTGCTGGCTTTCTGTCTAGGTTGAGGCCACTAGAGATAGTGGCCCACAGATAAATTTTGGTAAATACCTGCAGCTATAAGGTTTGGAACGTTTACCCTCTTTTAATAAATTCATTGCTTCTAACTTTCCTTGTCTGAACTGTGTTCCCTGGATAGCGAGACCTACACCTCCATGGGGTCACCATTCTCTCGGGGGGTGGGGGGGATCAAAGGTGGGGTTCCAACTCCCTCCAGCATGTGGGGGTGGGAGGCCAATATTGGGGGTCATTCCTCCTGAGGTAGGAGTGAACAGGAAAGGTGGAGCCCCACTATCATCCCTCCTCCCTGGGAGTAATGTCCCCAATATCCTCTTCCTCTGGAGAGGGTGGAAGCCCACTGTTCCCCTTGAAGGGGAAGGGAACTATCAGGAAAAAGCATAAAGCCAGTACGGCTGTATAGTACTGGGAAGGGATCAGGAGAAAGATTTGGTATGGGACAGAGAAGGAATGGTGCCCAACCACTTGGATGGTCGGGGACTGAACACCGGCCTGCATGAAGCGAGACAGTCACTCTGCCATTGCACTTAAGGCAATGACTGTGGAGCTTCCAGGGGGGGGTACAAGTGTGATCAATTGCAGTCCTTTAATACCCTGCTGTATTTTTAATTATGTATCTTACCATAAATTAATCTAAATAAATAAAAATGTAAATGTTCGTTTGTTCAAAATCGCTAATCACCGAAAGTTCAGATTGCTTTGAAAATTTGACGTAACATTCCATTTGCATATGAGTTTTTATATACCTACTACTGTATATAGATGTAACTGGTAAAAAAAAGTTTTTATTTGTTTATTTTTAATCAGTGCCATCTGTTGCACGTAAAGGCAACACACGCTATACTAAATATGTCAAGATTCATTTCAATGTTTCCAATTGCATTGATAAATTGAATTTTCATATTTTGACTTGTTTTCATTTTGATTTAATTATTTTGTGACATTGCATTGGAATTGAGCTGTGTTGTTTACCATACTGTTCATTTCGTAAGTAATGTTTATTTTTTATTCATTTTTTCATTTTGTTTTTTTAACTTATTTTTCAGTGATGGGAACATCAGATCATTTGGGAATGCATCGAACGAGGTAGAGGGGGATGGTGGGGAGGACTAGGGGACGGGGGGAAGGGGGAAATGGAGAGGACGGGGGGGGGGTAATGGTGGGGAGAAGGGGCAACAGAGGGTGTAATGGTGGGGAGGATGGGGCAACAGTAGGGGTTTGTAATGGGGGAAAGAGGGGGGGGTAATGGTGGGGAGGGGCAGGGCAGGGGAGGGTTGCTGTGGCTCAGCAACGCATTCTCGTTGCCGAGCCCAGCAACGCATGGCCGGGTACAGCTAGTGAGCAAATAAATTTAAAAAAGTTTAAATTAATCAAGAAGTTTATAAATTACAGTATTTAAGTTTGAGCTTTTTATTTCCTAAAGTATATAAACCCTTAAATATTCTGCATTTTTTTGTTAATGCCACATGTTAATAATTGATTTTTATTATCACTTGTGTTTGTTAGTTTTAAAGGTTTGTAAGGGTTCTAGTTAGAGTGGATGAGGAGAGAAACCCTCCTCTTCATTGTCATGCTTTATTATAATACTGATAAATAATTTTTATTTAAAATAAAATGTAGAACATTGTACAGTGGCTGCAATGTTTACAAGAGTACAGTATCTTGATGGATTGACATGATTTCTCTATTGCAGATCGCGTGTTTTATAGCGGAGCCCATGCTGACAATACCTGGTTGCATTGTTCCTCCCAACACCTGGCTCAAAGAAATGTACAAGTAAGTTCAAAGCGATCTCGGACCTGGCTCTTATTTTCACGATTTCTCACTCCCACCTATTAAGTAGATAACATTGTGTATTCTATGTTGGATCTATTGTATAATAGTATAGATAAGTAGTCTATTTAGGATCTTTATTAAATACAGTACTGGTTGTTTTAGTATTGCCAGTGTGACGGGAAATGTTGGTGGTCGGACAGTCTCTGTAATGCCAGTCACAAAATTAAAAAAAAAAAAAAAAGTTAAACTGCAAAGGTGTCTTCAGTGAGATAAACTATAGGATAAAGCAGAGGGGAAAAAAACATTTAAAAATACTTTACTTTAAAAATTAAACATATTACAAAAAATATCCAGGTTGGCTTTAATACAAATTGTGCAAAACAAACAAGATGAACAATCAAATTTACGTTACGTTAAGGTGCAAAATAAAATATGGTGCAGAATGCTGTTAGCTAGTCTGACAGACTAAATCCGTTACCACACCAAGATGTGTCAACGGGTCTACTCAGTTGAGCACACAGGAGTAATCTGAATCTTGTAGAGCTTGGTAGCCCTATTTATACAGAATATCGGCCGGGCAGATGGCGCTGATGGCTTCTTTAACTATGAACTGGCTCACTTAAACTACTTGTTTCGGAGGGCGTGGCCTCCCAGCGACCCAGGTGCGAGGAGGGGTGATGGGCAGTAGGGTAGGTAGACTGGTGGTATTGTCTAGACGTCTGGAAGTAGTAGTGTTTGTTGTTCTTGGCTGCAGTTCTTTATTATATAGATGTGAATGAGTAGAATAGGTGATAAGGGAGCAGGCCGAATCTTACTAGAAATTTTACCATGACCAGATTCTGCCTACCGAGGGTAACGTGGACAAGGCAACTCGGATAATCTTGCCTAGAAATACTCCTCAAATTAGACTGCAATGTATCTGTTGATAATCGTCAAATTTTTCTATGATGTACCTAAATTTTTTTTTTTTTTTTTTTTTTTTGAAGAGATATATACAAGAGTTGTTACATTCTTGTACAGAACACTAGTACGCGTAGCGTTTCGGGCAGGTCCCTGGAATACAATCCCCTGCCGCGAAGAATCGTTTTTTCATCCAAGTACACATTTTACTGTTGCGTTAAACAGAGGCTACAGTTGAGGAATTGCGCCCAGTAAATCCTCCCTGGCCAGGATACGAACCTATGACATAGCGCTCGCGGAACGCCAGGCGAGTGTCTTACCACTACACCACGGAGACTGTATTATTTTATTATACTGTATTATTTTTATTTTGTATTTTTATTATACATATTTCTTCAAATTTTCTTACAATGTACTTGTTAACATTTTCCAATTTTGCTACAAATTACCTACATTGTCAGATTAAGGACCTGCCCGGAACGCTATGCGTGTTGGTGGCTTTACAAGAATGTAAAAACATCAATGGTATGTACTCTCATAAACCCAATGTACCTTCTTGTATGTACCCCAGTATATATAGAGAGAGAATTTATATACCACATATATAATAGTGATATACAGTATTGGGTTGCATAATGGCTGCACCATGGAGTTTCTATCAAACCATTTATCAGATGTCACCTTAACCCCACTGGACTGTAAAACAGCCATAGATAGCATATTCATGCAATTCTATATTCATCAAGAATTGCAAAAAAACTTGATCTAAGGCCCTAAATATCTTTGAAGGTGGACCCTAGGTACTGGTGGTGGTGCCACAATACAGGTAAAGCAATGGAGTTCACACCACTTCACAAAGGAAGTGGTGGAATTAAAGCAGATGCAAAACATTATAGACCATTAGCTCTTAACATCACATATCTTAAACAATTTTGAAAAAAAAGTTAAAAAGCAAGATCACAATGTATGAAATCAGTCTACATAACTGGGCAACATGGATTCAGGACAGGGTGCTCCTGCCTCTTGCAGTTGCTAAACCACTATTACATGGCCTAAGAAGCCATGGAAGATGGGCCAAGCACTGTTGTAACATATAGTACTGTACACAGATTTTGCAAGTTCAACATGTGTGACCATGGTGTTATTGCATTTAATATGCATGCCAAAGAAATTGCTGGCAAAGTACAAAGATAGGTTTTTAACTCGCTGATGAACAGAACCCAGAATGCAATAGTCTACAAAGTAAAATCTGCATCATCATCTACTGTGAAAAGCTCGGTCCCCAACTTGCAGTACTGTGCTTGCTGCGGCACTTTTCCTTGTTATCATAACATAGACAAGGATACAAATTATAGTACTGTCATTTGCAAATGACATCAGAGGACACAGCAAACCTCCAATCTGATGTTAATAAAAGCTTTCTGTGAGTCACAAACTAATATGCTTAATGAAGTTAAGTTCCTGTTACTGCACTATAGGGGGGAATAAAAAAAAAATGCAGTTAAACCACACAATTGAAAGAAAAACTAATGTAAAAGGCTTGAGCAATTATGTCAGAAGACCTTTTAAAAGCACAATGTAGTAGCCATCACAATTGCAAAAAAAAAGACAGGTTTTTGGATGGAATAACAAGAACCTTTAGAACAAGAGATGCCACAGCAATGATCATACTTTTAAAGATACCGTACTAGTGTTCTTTAGAGTGGAATATTGATGCACACTAACAGCCTCTTTCAGAGCTGGAGAAATTACTGACCTGAAGAAGAGTATAATACCAAACAGGACAACCTTTTGCAGTGTTCAAATGAGAACTTGACAAACTCCTTCAAAGAATACCTGATCAACCAGGCTGTAACGCATGCGACAGGCTGCAAGCAGTGGCATTCAATAGCCTAGTTGACCAGACTATCAACCAGAAAGCCTGGTCTCTGACCAGGCCTTCAGGTTGGTGGAAAAATTGATCCTTGAAATGGACAGGTTTAAAATACACGAGGTAGCACAGCTCGAAAATGAGGTACAAGGTGGAACTCCACTCCTTTCTGAATGGTCCCTTGATAGTGCTCTTTCCTGCCCTTGATTTCCAGATTTTCCATGTGCTTGATTGGCATGGACTTCAGGGGGGTGGTTACTGGGTTCCATATCCTTGTTGTGGTAGGTATAGTAATGCTACCTGGTAGTTGTCAGTGTAACGGTAACTACACACAGAGCAATATTTGCCTACCCTTTTGATCCAAATGATTGCTTACCAGGGGTGTTGAGTGGTTTTAGTCTTGCAGCAATGTATCTTTGGATTAAGATGCATGCTACTGTCTCCCCACTCCTAAACTATAGAGGAAGACCATTTGAAATCTTGTCACTGTGAAGCAAAAGCTCTACTAGAGCTTCATGTTGGCACTGTCTTGGGTGGACCTAGGCCTTGGCTCGGACTCGGGGAACAACCAAGGGGCCATTTAGATTGGAGTATTTCAGTCGACTAGTGACAAGGATGTTACAGAACATCCTTTTTCCATATAGGAACCTTTCAGCTGCAACAACACATTTTAATATTTTTTTTTTTTTTTTACCTTGTCATTCATTATTGAGTCGTTTAGTAATTTTTTTGTCAACAGGATGGTGCGAGAATTTGGTGGACTCTGTATAGCTGATGAAGTACAAACAGGCCTTGGTAGAATTGGTTCACACTATTGGTCATTCCAAGCCCATGATGTCACTCCAGACATACTCATCATTGGAAAGTCACTTGGTAAGTTATGTCACTTGGTAACATGTTAAGCATAATGGAAAATACATTAATTATAATAAAAATAAAGTTAGTCTAGTCTTGCAGGTCCTGGCATAAATAAACTGATTTTTGAGTTGCCTATATTTTTTCCCTAAAATAAGTTGTCCATTGAATAAGAGCATCCATATCCAGTCTGGCAGAGCATGGTGCTCTGCCTATTTTTCTACTGACCTCCTAGAGGTGACTAGAAAGTCAAATGTTGCAGAATGACCCAATAGCAGCCCCATTCATGAAAAATGCTAGCCCAACAGAGCCCCCTTACTCACTCTTGACATCACAGTTGACTACCAAGGGAGCATCTTTGTTAACTACCTCAATTGACCACCAGACCTGCCAACTTGCCAAGTCAGAAAGCATGTGATGGATATTGGAAACCTTCGTAATGTGCATAAAAAATGTGGAAGAAATACTAAAGAACTAGAACAAAAATTAGATCTAGGAGTGGTTTTGGACAGCAAAATGTCACTAGAGGACCAAATTAAATGCATTGAGAGAAGCCTATGCTATGCTTGTGAATGTCAGAATCTTTTTTTTTTATAATTCATGCATGGAGAGATACTAAAGAAATTATTCATGACAGACTTAAAACTAAAATTAGAATGCAGCAGTTGTATTTTTTTCCCCGTAGGTATTAATTATTTTTTCCTTGTTTAAATAATTTAACTGGACATTCCAGAATTAGGTTGCAAGTAAATGGGCAACCCGTTCTCGCAAATTTAATAAGTCAATATTGACTTGTTAAATTTGTGAGAACGGGTTGAAATGGGGTACAAATTTTGTAAATAATTTTTCTTGATATTCACAGGCAATGGGTATCCAATGGCATCCGTTGTGACATCCAACAAAATTGCAGCTCTTTTGGGTGAACGCATAAGAGAGGTAAATACAGCAGTTGGTATTATCACACGTTGCAAGACATTAGTATGTTAACACATCAGTTCGTTGCAATCTTAAGTGCCAATAAAATGTCACTGTAGCTGAAGCCACAACCATCTAAAGATGACGTTATAAATACGTATCATTTGCTTAAGAGATTCTTGACCATAAAGTTTAAGTTTTAGTGCAATTGTCATTTGTAGTACAGTATACATTGTTATTAGTCATAAAAAATTAAGTTCATAGGTCACACGAGGGCCAGCAAGGAAAAAATCTGATCCAGTAATCTGCATTACACACTTCCCCTTATTTTTTCATTAGACATACTTTTCCCTTATTTTTTCAGTCTTATTTCCCCATTTACTCTAAGTTATGTGACCAGTCTCTAAGTTCTGCACTATTCCTGATATTTTGTCTACAAATGTTGTATTAATGTACTCGTGTGTCAGTACCCGTGTACCAAAATGATGGATGCAGCAGGATGTTCAGTGCTGAAGGTGCTGCAGGACGAGCAGCTTATGGAGAATGCTGTTGAAGTTGGAGCACTTCTTAAAACTGAACTGCTTCGTCTTCAGCAAGAGTATGACTGTATAGGTATGTATCACAAAACTTCATTCCATTGTCAACCAAAATATTGTTGTAGTGTAAGGCCTTTATCAATGTTGTGTAAATTTTATGTAGTGCATAACCACACTTGTAGCTTTGTATAGTATTCTGATTGCATATATCTTACTGAAACAATGTACAGAAAATACACAAAATCAAAAATATATAATTGACAAATGTCTTGATTTTTCTGACCCAGCACAGGTTTTAGATACTGTACTCAAATGCGTCCCACAAAGGTGGAGGCCCTACTAAAATTAACAATCGTATCCCTATGTCAAACCTACTCATATTATCTAATATTCGACAAACTTGCCAATACCACATGCACGATATGCAGCGTTACTCCTACCTAGCAAAACACAATCTACAAAAGTCGATGCAAATTTGTCTTTGGATTCTTGAAGGTCACAGATGCAATTGTAATACATATTATAATCTTGATACACTAGAATCTTGACCCAAATGAGAACCTAATGGGCCAATTGTCATTAATAAAAGGCTTTTCAAAATGTTGGCTCTGTAATAACCTTAAGTTACATTATGTAGTTAAATATTTTTTTTGTTACTACACGTGATCTCATTCTGTGACAGGTGTCAGTATGTTGCTGCTATTCATCCTATATTCAGTTAATATTGCCATTTTTCCAGTGCACCATATTTGGCTCGCTCAGCTGGACAGTTGTGTGGCTTGTGAAGTTGCAATTTTGCGAGACAATAGAATATAGCAAAACTGTACATAGGTTTATGGTGTTTGTGGTACATCATGTTTGGCTAGTCTGGTGAAGCAATGTCTTCTTGGCTTCTACCTAGACCCCTTGAAACCATTATGTATTCCCTCTAGTTCCTCCTTCATGAATCTTTCTCAAAGTTTTTGACATCAATCTTTCTCGTGCACCATTGGAACCTACTTAGCCTCTGTTAAATTTTTTGTCTGAATAAATTTTGGGCCTTTCTCCCTGGCCTTTATCCAACCACTTGGGCTGGATGGTAGTGACAAGTCTCACTTCAAGCAGGTCAGTGTTCAATCCCCCAACTGTCAAAGTGGTTGGGCACCATTCCTTTCTCGATCCCTTCAAAGTGCTATACCAGTATATATAGTTGTAATGGTTTGGTGCTTTCTCCTGATAGTTCCCTTCCCCTCCCTGACCTTTGCAATGGGCAATAGTCAGGGAGCTACATGACCTTTTCAGCCATCGTGGCTTTCTCATTTGGTTGGAGGTGGTTTTTTATACATCTCTCTGTAACCCCTTATTTTTGCCTAAAATTTAGCTCATTTTAAGAGCTTGAGAAAGTTTGAGTTTCATATAAATGAGCCTTCTAGATATCATTTTGGGCTGGATGTGGTATTGCCTATCCATGCCTTGTACCATTATGACCCAGCAGGGACATTTAAAAAAAATCTTTGCTCTGCCAGAGCAGAATGCTAATTTTCTCCCGATAATGTATACATAACTTTGAGGGAACCAGCAGGACTTTGCCTAGGGGGCAACAGTGTGTTCTGCTCAAAAAGCAGCTTTTCATATACTGTACTCTCAAATCCTGATTTTTGTGAAAGAAATTAAATATTTTTTCCAAAATTTAAATTTGAAAACATTGTATCCTTCTAGGTAATATAAGAGGTACTGGATTCATGATTGGAATAGAGATAGTTTGGAGCCAGCTAAGCAAGAGACCTGCTCCTGAGATAGCTGAACAAATTGTACAAAGGTAAGCAGCCTGTCCTCGCAGCAAATATATTACTGTGAGAAACCACACCTCTCCCATCCCCTCAAACCACCTGTATAGTATCTTGATACAGTATTTGTGATGGTCTGAAAGCAAATGAACCTTTGTCATAAACAGTGATTATTCTAAAGTTATAACTTTAATGTAATAGAAATAGTTAGTTTAAAATATAAAGTGTATGCTGAAAACTAAGAATTTGATTTTTTGTAAACGTAATTCTATGTATAAATAATTACAGTACACATCTACAAACAGAATAGCCCCGTACATATTTGGTCTCATTTTAGTTAGATATGCAAAATGAAATTAGAAATAGAGCAATGACAAATATTTAGTGATTTGTTATTTTATAAATTCTAGTATTATGAACGTGTCAATTGGATTAATTTGTGACTTGTACAGAATCTTTTTAAAGAATAACTGAAGCCCTTATGAGCAAATAATCATAATATTTTCAGACAGACAATTCAGTGTAAATTCAAACCAACATTATTTGCTAGAATATAATTTCCTTTTATTACAGAATGAGAAGAGAATATATCATAATAGCTCATGAAGGCAAAAATAGAAACATTCTACTCCTAATGCCGCCCATGTGTTTCACACTCAAGAATGCCCTCATGTTTTGCAACAGTTTACAAAAGATTCTTTTTGAGCTGACAGACACTATGATATTAAAAGCTTTAAGTCTGTAAGTACTCTACAAAATACCTGCTGTATTTCTTTCAGATTTTAGCATGTTAAATTTATTCTTCTCTACATTTGTTTCAAATGACAAATGAACCAGAAGCTTTAAGTTGCAAACCTGTTAAATGCATGTAATAGGTTTGTGATTTTTAAAGCTTTTGGTCCATTTATTTGAAACAAATTTATCCTTCTCTAAATTTAACTTGCTGAAATATAGGTTGTCTAATCCAAACTCAATACTGCAAATACTAAATTGTTCTCTTCACCTTGCCTTGCTCCAGTAAATCATTTCGGTTGATCATGAAATGTTTCTCATGTCGTTCTGTAGTTCAAATGATTCATGGAATGTATGTGGCTAATATAGTACAGTATACTGTACTGTATTAGTGAAATACATTGTTAATGTACAGTATGTGGATATAGTACAGTATTTTAAAATTTTGACTGGTTTCTCTTAAAATCTTAGGTTGATCTAAAAAAAAAAAAAAAAAAAAAAAAAAAAAAAATACACACGTACTAATATGCATATTTGCATTAATCAGTGGATGTCTGTATGTGCTGTCAGGAAAAATATTAAGTACATTTTTCAGCTAAATTTGTTGGCAATTTTATTTGGATTTGGCACTAAATTTTGAATCTATTAATCCAGGTTATTAGTTTCACCTGAACTTCCAATTAACCTATTTTTATCCTTGATCTAAATGGCTGGGACTTTTGGCCTCCAGAACTCCCGAAGTATCCAAGAATACTTTTCCAATTTAAATTACAGTATTGGCCCCCCCCCTCATCTACATATTCTATGTACCCCTTTCTTTCCTCACTCTTGACACCACTTGTTGAACCCCCCCCACCCCATGTCCTTCCATTTCACAGTTCACCTTCCTATATCTACTTTTCTGTATTGCACTATTATACAGCACCATGAGATCTAAATTTTGTGAAGTTTCATTCAGAGTCCATGGAAAATCAAATACTTGTCTAAAGAAATTCTCTCTGGGCATCACCTTGGTTATTCATCTAAGCTTATGCACCATTCATGCTCAGACTAGCCAACACCAGGTACCTGTGACACTAGTTACCTACTGGAACAAGGACCTTTGTCATTTTCCCTTGCCCACTATGATTTAGTGCACAATCGACCCAATAGCAAGACTGTTCTAAAGCAATGCAGTAGTAGCACCCCCCTCCACACTACGTGCGCACACACACCCCCTCCCCCCCCCCCCATTACGTGCACCACGCCCCCCACACTACATGCGCGCACACACACACACACACACACACACACACACACACACACACACACACACACCCACACTAAGTGTGCGCATGTGCACACACCACAGTGTGCGCACACCCCCCCCCCCACACACCTCGTGCATCAACCACCACCTCAACAGTCTCCACTTGTCATCATTTCCCTAAATACACAAGACAGTGAAAGAGGTAGGTGAGCAGACCCAATCTTACATTTGTTATGATCTTTGTGGCAAATTTCTGAACCTTCACCTTTTTTCAAATGCCAATAATATATGCCAGTACTAAATTTTGGAACTTTTTTTTTTTTTTTTTTTTTTTTTTTTTTTTTTTTTGCCTGTACTATAAGCATGGTTTTGAACCTCCAACTTGTCCTATGATGAACATTCACATTGTATATTTCACATACTGTACACATTTATAAACAAATCTGACTCAAATGTTTTTGCCCTTAGGATAACTGGAAGGCCTATAGAAGGAACCATTGAAGGCCGCCTAGGTATTGTACAACCACAAAAAGAGAACGATGATGAGCTCCCCTCTACTTCAAACGCAAACCCTGACAGTGTTCCATACAGCTACCATGATCTTGACTGAGAACTAATATAGGACATAAACCAGGTACTAATGCATGACCCAAAAATTTAACTGTGCATATGAACATCCAACATTGTCAGAAAAGGACAACAAAGTGTTTTTCTTAGTGTATCAAGTAAGTTTTCCCTGTGGAATATAACTGTACATACTGTATGTGGTATAAAATAAGACAGCATTTTAGAACTTGAGCACAGATCTGCATTTTGATGAGATTCAGGCTTATAATACTGCCATGTAATTTGTAGAAAACTTTTGAAAACAAATTAAAGTTGCAGACAATTAAGTCGCAATAACATGGCTGAAGATGTGTCCAAACCACACTTCAGAAAATGAAGAAACTACGATAATTCTATCTTTCCTGGAGCATTATAAAGTCTTGTAATGATGCACGATGGACCAAAACTTTATTTTCCAATGTGTGGTTTGGACAACAAATTAAATTTCTATATTAAAAGAAGGGGTTAAATTTTATCATTTTTATTGCATAGGGAAAATAAATAAAACTATTTTGTTCCTGCAAATATTTATAAATGGAGGCAATTCAAAGATTAAATATCAAAACATATTAACTTTGCACTCTTCACTGTTCGTAAATAACATATTTGAAATTGCAAAATAACTGAAGACCAAAAGAAACAGACTATTTAAATATAGGATAATAGAAATGAATGATGTAATTTTTTTTTTTGTCATGTGACTGTTACCAAAGTTCCAAAATTGCCATTATTTTGCTATTTGTTTTGTAATAAAGATTTGTACATATAACAACTTCTCCTCTAGTCAGTAATTCAAATAGAAAAAACTGAAGTAAAATATATATTTTGGCCATAACTTTTGGCACTGCATGCTTGAGGGATTTAAAATTGCAAACAAAAGTTCTTCTTAGAGAGGAGGACTTTCAATGTTCTATTTGGAATATCTTGCTTAAAGTTTCACGGCCAAGATTTAAACATACAAATGTCAGATTATAAAACTACAGTATTATCTTGTATTTTTTATTGTTTAAGAAAATAAACTTATTTTGGTAATTGTATACTTTTTAATAATTTGTTGCTAAGCAGTCCACTGACAATTGGATAACACAATCTCATATTCTGTAAACTTCATTTCCTTAGCCATTATCATTATACCATAACACTGGATAGTAATCTAAGTGTGGTTGGAGTTTGTAGCAACCATCGAAGGGTACGATTCAACCATTCGGGTCACTAGTGGTCTGACATATTTGGTAACTACTTATTTCCAGATTAGACAAACACCCCTATACTTTGACAAGCATTTGAATTTATGTAAATATTATAACTAAAGTGCAAAGAATTTGGTCTAAATTAGTAAAAAACTGCTAGTCAGTTATCAGACAGCATGCACTACAAAAGTGTTCGTATGTACTGTCAAAGCTTGCTTATCCAGACTGTATGGAAAGGACCCCCGACTGGATAAGCAGAATTTTTACAGGGATAGTCCAAAAATGACCATATTTGCATAGGGGAGTCTGGAACGGATTAATTCAATTTCCATTATTTCTTATGGGGAAAATTAGCTTGTTTACAAGTATTCAGCTTACGAGCTGTCTCTGGGAATGGATTAAATTCGTAAGCTGAGGTACCACTGTAATATAAATTGAATTAATGTTCCCGACTCCCCCAAAAAATTAACTTGGAGATTACACCCTTATCAATTTTAATCCCTCCCTTTCCATTCAAGAAGCAAATTAGAGATCAGCCCAAACTTCGTCTTGAGGCAAAGCTCAACGCCTTAAGGCGTATTGATGCTCTATCAACAGAGCATTGTCTCTCTCTCTCTCTCTCTCTCTCTCTCTCTCTCTCACAAACCATATCCCGACTCCCCCCAAAAAAATTAACTACAAAGTGAATTTTATACCCAATTCACCCAAATCTTCAGTACTAATGTACAAGTTATTACTTACCTTTACTGATGACTTGGAGTATGGAAGACAGTGAGGGGGGAAGAGGAGAGGTGTTAGTGTTTGGAAGGGGAATTCCCTTCCAAATCATTAAATTCGTCTATAAATCTTTCAGCCACTGATTTGTCTGAGCTGGCAACCTCCCCATGCCTCAACTCTATAAAGACTACTACTTTTTCTAAGTTTCTCAAACCATCCCTTGCTTGCCCTAAACTCTTTGGTATCTGCATCACTCGTTCCAAGGGTTTTCTTTAAAAGGTCTTCGTGCAATTGCCTCTCTCTCAAATGATGGCCTCTAAATGCTATCACCTGCTAACTCCTTGTTGTGTATCCAAATTAATAACTTCAACATCGTGTTTGTGTTCTTTGTTTCACGATTGTTGATATGCCTTTTGTCAATTTAGTACCGTGTCCTTTTTCTTAGTAAGTAGTACAGTGCATATTGTTGACAGATTTGTTGTACTGCCTAGCTAGTTCAACAATCTGTGTAACCTGTGTATCATTAATCATGTTTACGAATGATCTCTTGGTTTTCTCTATAGTCATTCTCACATGTGTTTTCTTGGCTTGAACCTTACCACTGGCTTTCTTGGGACCCATGGCAAGATATACAACAACTTGCACACAAATCACAATAGTGTGATGCATCAAAGGAACAAATCCACAAGGGCCATGATGAGGATTCGAACCTACGTCCGAGAGCGTCTGGGATGCTCTCAGATTTGGGTTCGAATCCTCGTCACGGCCCTTGTGGATATGTTCAATAACAACTTGTGTTCAAATACCTAAAAATCCAAAAAAACTAATTCTTTACAAAGAATTCGGGCAGGAGGCACTGGTAAACTGAAGCACGATTGCCGTGCCACCACATGCTAGGTAGACTACGTGCGTATCAACAAACTTCGTAACCCGATTCAGATTTTACGAAGAAATTGGGCTCGTAACCTGAGGTGTCATTGTAATTAGGAAGAAAATTTATACAATGATAACCACATTCACATTAGTAACAACCATTAAACACTAGTGGGATTTTTTCATGGATCAAGATAAACATCATTACATTCCCAGAGCTATTATATCCTTATTTGCATCATACAGTACATGTAAAACCCAGACAAAAATTTATATATTCATGTGATGATAACCACATTACTCCGTGAATCAACATATGAAAATGCTGTCTAAGGGTTAAATACTTCCCAATACAGTAAGAAAAGCATTACTTAACTTGAAGGGCAATAAAACTAATAATCAAAGGATATCAAACTTTTATTAACAAATATTTCAAGTAGCCCTACTTTACGTGCAAGTGCAAACTAATAAATTTAATTTCCCCATTTGAAATTTTTATTTTGGAACATCTTGATTAACAAAAATGCTATTCTTGTTGTAGCAAATGTACAGTACAATAGTTGTTAAATTTTTTAAGTATTGTTTTCTTTTGACATTCAAACATTGTAAAAAAAAATCTTGCCCGTTTTCATGAATTCTTTAAATGGGGAGAGCTTGACGCAATTGACAGGAAATTATACTAAAGAAATGTCTCGAACATGACTATTTCTGTACCTTTTGAAATGCATCATGCTGGCCTTACAAGTCATCGAGCTGAAAAGAGCAAATAATAAAATATAAATGCATGTCTTAAGTATTTGATTTAATATCAAACTGCCTTGCCATTAAAATAGCACATGCATTAGGAAGCCTTTTACATTGTGGCAGTTTCTTTTCTGGAAAGTGTTCTAAAAATTAATCGTATAAATAACATGCAAGATAAATAGGGTTACACCCCCAGTCTTGGCAAAGTTGTAAATTACTTTGAAATTGTGAGAATGGGTATAACAGCAGGAATTGAGCCAAGGCCTCTGCCTGGGAATGGTAACACAAGCCGAGGCTATAGTAAAGCTGTATCCACAAACACTGACCACCAGAAAAGTCATTATTTACCAAGAAAATACAGGGCTTCTTAATAGATAGGTCATTTTAGTAGGTGAGGGAGGCTACGATATCTGGTAGATGCAATTTGGCACCCTCTACTTAGCAAGACTCAAAGCTGCATCCAGCCTTGCAACAACTTTCACTACCACCCACTACAGTACCTAATTTGAATCCAAATGACTGGGAACAATTTTTCATTCCATTTATATAGCATATTTCTAGGTAACTTTTTTTTCCCCCCCTCCTCCAAGAAGTGTAACTGCCACACACCATACAGTACATGCATCCACTGTACACTAAGCCAGTATTAGTGGCATTTCTTTGTCACTGACATCTCTTCAGAAAACTAGCAACACCTCAAAGTGCCCAAGTGAAATGGTCACAAGAGGGGAAGGAATGGAATAAGATATTAGAAGCAGTCTCCGTGGTGTAGTGGTAAGACACTCTCCTGGCGTTCCGCGAGCGCAATGTCATGGGTTCGTATCCTGGCCGGGGAGGATTTACTGGGCGCAATTCCTTAACTGTAGCCTCTGTTTAACGCAACAGTAAAATGTGTACTTGGATGAAAAAACGATTCTTCGCGGCAGGGGATCGTATTCCAGGGACCATAGGATTAAGGACTTGCCCGAAACGCTACGCGTACTAGTGGCTGTACAAGAATGTAACAACTCTTGTATATATCTCAAAAAAAAAAAAAAAAGATACACTTACAGTTGTGACTAAAACTAAGAAATTATCAAAGGAAGGTACCAAGTTGGACGACTATGTAGCTGTTACAACTGCAAGAAAAATTATTGGTGGATAACAAGAACCTTCTAAAAAAAAAAAAAAAAAAACACACACACCAATGATGATACTTAAAGGGCACAAGAGTGGAATATTGTTGCACACTAACAGTCTCGTGCAAATATCCTTTACCACTATAACCCACTCGATAACACATCTAAATTATTGAGACTGCCTAAAATCTTTAAATCTGTATTCCCTAGAGTGCAGGCTGGAGAGAAGCGTAATACTTTACTTTTAAAATATTAAAAGGACTGGTTCCAAATCTACGCACACAAATAACACCACATGAGAAAAGAAGGCATAGCAGGCTGTGCAAAATAATTTTGCCCTGCTGAAAAGCAGAGGTGCAATAAGCACACAGAGAATTCTATCAACAACAACAGGCTTTTCAATACTTCCCCTATACATACAGAGCATAACTGGCCGACCTCTTGCAGTGTTCAAAATATAACTCGACAAACACCATTAAACGATACCTGATCAACCAAGCCGAGAGCAGTCTGGTGGATCAGACCAGTAACCAGGAGGCCTGGTCAGAGACGAAGTCATAGGGACTTTGCTCCCCTCAACTTTCGACAGGTAGACAGATACTCCTGCAAAATAGTGAACCAAATGACCCAGGCATGTGGAAATCAGTGTTCAACCAGGATTATAGAGAACCTACACAGCAGCACCCAAGGCCACAGCCACTGTGATAAAACCCGAGAGCCACAGATTCTAGTCCTGACTTTCAGTAGGCAAGGGTCTCGAGACCTGATGCAAAGGGTTGTCCTAAATGGAAGTGAATCTGACATCTCAAACCGATAAAATACTGAAGTTGATGGATATTAATCCAGACCACTTTAAAAATAAAGAATGTAATTCATTCAAAGGGCAACAGCTTAAAGCCACAGTGTAGGACAGAAAACAGGAGATGCTTTTTCACCTGTAGGGTTATAACCCATGGAACCAACACCAGCATAAGCAATAAATGCCAAGACATGGGTCAATTCAGATTCTAGTTAGAAAAATCCTCAAGAACACTGGGTTGATCTTTGACAAGCCACCAGTTTTGTCCCCATCAAAGCCACTAGAGATGGTGACCCTTGTGGCCACCTATGGAAGGAGTTCTCAACTAGATAAGCAGGATTAGTTTTATACACTGTGCGAGAATGTTATGATCAAAGGTAGCTCAACTAAGGGAAGTAGCATAAACCTATGATGAACCAATCATTAATTCCCATGATAATGTTATTCCATCAATTTTGGGGAATGGGGTGTGAGAATGGCATGGCAGCTTGCAACTAGGGAAGGGGAGAATTGTTAAAGCCATGCCATAAGGCAACAGAGCTTAGCTTTAGGGAGATACAGAGAAAGCCCTACCAGAAACTGTCCAAAATGCTCATCAAAAGGAAAAATAAAATGGGGGGAAAAAAGTTAAAAATATACGAACCAAATCTTCAACATCATCATTTTCAGCTGGAGGTGGTGCGACTGGCTGTTGTGACTGCTGCTCCAACTTAAGGAATTCTTCAGCTTCATCACTACCAACAATACTCCTTGCATTTTCTTCCTTGTTAATCATGCCCAGACCACCTAAAGACCAAAGACCCTAGACAGATACTCCTGCAAAATAGTGAACCAAATGACCCAGGCATGTGGAAATCAGTGTTCAACCAGGATTATAGAGAACCTACACAGCAGCACCCAAGGCCACAGCCACTGTGATAAAACCCGAGAGCCACAGATTCTAGTCCTGACTTTCAGTAGGCATGGGTCTCGAGACCTGATGCAAAGGGTTGTCCTAAATGGAAGTGAATCTGACATCTCAAACCGATAAAATACTGAAGTTGATGGATATTAATCCAGACCACTTTAAAAATAAAGAATGTAATTCATTCAAAGGGCAACAGCTTAAAGCCACAGTGTAGGACAGAAAACAGGAGATGCTTTTTCACCTGTAGGGTTATAACCCATGGAACCAACACCAGCATAAGCAATAAATGCCAAGACATGGGTCAATTCAGATTCTAGTTAGAAAAATCCTCAAGAACACTGGGTTGATCTTTGACAAGCCACCAGTTTTGTCCCCATCAAAGCCACTAGAGATGGTGACCCTTGTGGCCACCTATGGAAGGAGTTCTCAACTAGATAAGCAGGATTAGTTTTATACACTGTGCGAGAATGTTATGATCAAAGGTAGCTCAACTAAGGGAAGTAGCATAAACCTATGATGAACCAATCATTAATTCCCATGATAATGTTATTCCATCAATTTTGGGGAATGGGGTGTGAGAATGGCATGGCAGCTTGCAACTAGGGAAGGGGAGAATTGTTAAAGCCATGCCATAAGGCAACAGAGCTTAGCTTTAGGGAGATACAGAGAAAGCCCTACCAGAAACTGTCCAAAATGCTCATCAAAAGGAAAAATAAAATGGGGGGAAAAAAGTTAAAAATATACGAACCAAATCTTCAACATCATCATTTTCAGCTGGAGGTGGTGCGACTGGCTGTTGTGACTGCTGCTCCAACTTGAGGAATTCTTCAGCTTCATCACTACCAATAATACTCCTTGCATTTTCTTCCTTGTTAATCATGCCCAGACCACCTAAAGACCAAAGACCCCAAGCTCTGTATGAAGTGTCACATGAATATTTTAAACATCCAAATATTAAGACAACATTTAAGAATTATTTCATGCAAATGTGAGTGTTATTTGTTATAACAGTTAACAAATATAATTTAAACCCTAATTTCTTTTAAAGCCTGTTACTGGAACTGCATTTGTAATGCATTCCTAGTGGTAACTGATAAATTTAGGTAACCTAAACAATTTAATTATATTTATTGATGTCTAGAAATAAATATGCCAACTCCTTGACACACAGGTTTACCCCTGATCCCAGGTCTGGGAGAGAGGTGGAGTTGGTGCCCAAATATCTTCTTTGCAAGCAGGCATGTAGTGCATCCAGTAATATTGTACTGTATGCCCACATTCTGCCCATACAGATTAACAAGCTCTTAGCTGCCTCTCAAAGTTTTGTACAAAATAAAAGGTCTTATTCTATTAATGTGTACATTTTATGTTGACCAAACCACACACTAGAAAATGAAGAGACATGAGGTTTATGTCCATCCTGGACATTATCAAGTCGATTGTGGTTAAGGTATAGTCCAGGATGGACCGAAACATCTTCATCTCTTCATTTTCTAGTGTGTGGTTTTGTCAACATTTTTCAGCCACATTATTGTGACTCCTCATCTGCATTTACATTTTATCCTATTTTACCTAAAAGTATATTTGATAGGCATTGCTTATAGAATTGAATTGTCAATATATGTGCAATGTCGTCATGAATAAACTGGAATATATAGTAAAAAATGGAAAAATACTGAATGGACCTGAATACTTGGTTAAGTGAAATGATCTAGTGCCAATTTGTCCATTCAAGTGAGGTATCATTTATTTTTTTCTCTATACCGATTCATCCAAAACAACTCTTATGAAAGTTGGAGCCAAGTAAGGATAATATACAGAATTACATATATACAGAAGTATATATAGTAGAAGCATATAATATACAGAAGTAGAAATAAATGAAATTGAAATAATTTTATTCTTTATGAGAAGGATAGTTGTATGCTCTGAAAACTTTAGGAAAATTTTTGTCACAAAACTGATCTCACTAACAACCAGTGAGTATCTAGTTTAAAAGTACTTTATATTACGATTATATAATTTGTTCCAATAAGGAATGTATAACTTGTTTATTGAGAAGCCTATTTCATGTTTGATGTTAAAATATGAGGCATCAGGCAAACAACACTTCAAGTTTTCAAACAATGAGTACAGGTACAGTACATTTCTGTTCACAATGAAATAACAAGAATGTGTGATGTACCCGATTTCATTGTATGGCCTCAATATTTTCTCAAACCCACATCCCAGGACTTGTATATCATACAGCCTCATTATTTTTTCAGTACTGTATCAGTAACTTACTTTCTTTGACACGGTTCCATAATTCATGTAGAGACATTGTCATTACAACTTCTTTCAGGCTCGAGATAAATTTGTTGTAGGTTGAAGGATCAATGCTACACGACTCCTGGCGGAAGGAAGTCAGGCAGTCTATCACTTTAGCCACGACTGCAGCATTAGTACCACCACCACCAAGACCATCAACTAACTGTAGCACAACTTCCCCAAGCTGCTTACAAACTGAAAGATAAAGTCAGCTGCTCAGACATATGTATGGTTGGAACACTTCTTTTTTTCTTAATAAAGATAAAAAAATATAAAAATTATACAAATAAAGCATATCAGTAATTAAAGAAGCATAAGGCAGCTTAAAAAAAAAATTAGAAAAAACCATGTGGTGCTATAATGCAAGGATTGCCAAACAACACATAAGTTTTGCAATCTTGTAAATAACAACATCCAAGATACAATTTTTAAACTTGAAGTTAAAATCTGTCTCAGTTCAGTCAACCAAGTTATTACTAACTTTTTGAATTGCTTCCCCCCACCCCCAGACTTAAAACAAGTACTGTACAGTACTTCCATACTTTGTTTATTTACAAATACAGCCAAACGATAGGCCTTCATCCCTGTTTATTTCCTTCCCATTTGCATCTATCATTTTACAACCACCTTTCAATTTACACCCTTATTTTTTCATTATAAATGTGTGCTTTCATTACAGTGGGACCCACAGCATAGGAGGATGTTTCAGGCACAGTACGCCTTAAACATCTTCCCTCAGTTTGTCACCATAATGGATACAAACACCCATGTCACACATTCATTTTACATTTACAGCTGTATAGCTTTAGCATCTCTGAGCAACCATGAAAGGAAAGTGTCCATCAAGGGATAGCAGACTAGCAGTGTCTCAAAAGCCAGGAATACCATCAGTTTAGAGGTGCAAGGGTTAAATTGGTTCCGTGCTTCAGAATAGTCTGCTCACATTGCCTGTGCACTTGGCATGATACCTACAACAGAACAATTTTTAAGAATGCTGATAAAATAAGAGAAAGTTCTTAGTGTGACAGATAGGCCTGCACAGAGTCAACCAGGACAGAGAGGAAACCAAAAAGAAAAAGAGAGAGAGAGAGAGAGAGACTAAGACTTACTCAGCCCCTAGACCTGACTTATGAAATTCAATACTCATAAAGAAATGTAACGTACCAGTAGCACAAGCGCTCAGTGTAACATGAAGAAAGAACCTGGGACTGATTCATAAAGCAGTTACACAAGCACTTACGAACCTGTACATTTTTTCTCAATCTTTGGCGGCTTTGTTTACAATTATTAAACAGTTAATGAGCTCTGAAGCACCAGGAGGCTGTTTATAACAATAACAAGAGTTGATTGGGAAGTTTTCTTGCTTGTAAACTGTTTAATAAATGTAGCCAAAGCCGTCAAAGATTGGGGAAAGATGTACATGTTCTTAAGTACTGTACTTGCGTAACTGCTTTATTAATCCAGATCCTGGATAAGGGAAGATACTGTACCAGAAACACTTAAAATCTACAGATATAGCTCCTCTGCACAAAGAAGTAAAGCTCTGGCAAAAAATTATAGATTAGTTGCACTAACATCACACATTATACAAGTTTTTGAAAGAGTGATTAGGAATAAAATTTCCAGTATTATGGAAAATAATGAACTTCATAGCCCAGGACAATATGGATTTAGAGTGGGAAGATCCTGTCTGTCACAGTTACCTAACCACTATGATAAAATCCCAGAAGCCTTAGAAGAAAAGCAAAATGCAGATGTTATATACACAGACTTTGCAAAGGCATTCGACAAATATGACCATGGAGTGATAGCTCATAAAATGAGGTCAATAAAAATAACAAGTAAAGTGGTACGTTGGATTTTCAACTTTGTCAAACAGAATGCAGAGAGTGACGGTCAATCAAATAAGATCAAGCCCAAAGTGCAGTAAAAAGCTTTGTACCCCAGGGCACAGTTCTTGCACCACTGCTATTTCTCATTCGTATCTCGGCTATAGACAAAAATACTAGTCCCAGTTTTGTGTCATCCTTTGCAGATGATACAAAAATCAGCATGAAAATTGCCTCTGTAGAAGACACTGAAAAATTATAGGCAGATACTAATAGGCTTCGATTGGGCAGCTGAAAATAACATGATGTTTATAGATGATAAGTTCTAGGTACTTAGGTATGGTGGATATGAGGAACTTAAATGAAACACAAGATACAGGATACAATCAGACTTTCTCATAGAAGGAAAGCAACATGTAAAAGATCTGGGAATTATGATGTCTGACGAAATGACATTTAGTGAACATAACTGAGCAAACATAGCAGCAGCCAGGAAAATGATAGGATGGATTATGAGAATGTTCAAATCCAGAGACCCCACAGCAATCCTAATACTATTTAAATCACTGGTGATGTTCCGTCTTGAGTATTGCTCGGTACTCAATTCCACTTTCAGAGCAGGACAAATCTCTGAATTGGAGGTAATACAGAGAACATATATGGCACACATAGAAATAAAACATCTAAATTATTGGGACCATCTCAAAGCTTTCAAAATGTAATCTCTGAAAAAAAAAAAAAAAAAAAGACAAGAAAGGTATAAAATACAGTAATATATCATGTAAGATACTGGAGGGCCAGGTCCCAAATTTGCACAGTAGAATAACATCATACTGGAGCAAAAGATACATAAGAAAATGCAAAATAGAACCAGGGAGGAGCACAGGTGCCATAGGCACACTCAGAGAACACTGTTGTAACATCAGGGGGTCCATGGCTGTTCAACACCCTCCCAGCAAGCATTAGAAATATTGCTGGAACAAATGTGGATGTATTCAAGAGGCACTTAAACTAGTTCTTACAAGAAGTGCTTGACCAACCAGGCTGTGGTGGATATGTGAGCCTGTGGACCCATTCCAAGCAACAGCATGTTGGATCAAGTTATCACAAGTCAAGCATGACCTCAGGGAGTTAGAACTCCCGAAACCCTCTCCGTGTATGCTAAATAGCGAGAGAAGGGGAAATGAGGGATGTTTGAAGACTGGAGCAAGAGGGAAGAAAGATGGAGAGGGGAGAGTGAGAAAGTGGGAAGTAACCCCCCCCCCCACAATGTACCCTATAATGGAAGGTACTAAGGAAAAGCAATATAAATCATAAGGCTTTAATAATATGAAGAATAAAAAATATACAAATTAGTACTGGCCAATATTTTATCCCCCACAACATAAATAAGCTTGAAATTGATGCTCTTAATGTTAGATCAAGCAAGCTGGCACTGATTAAACACATATTAACACTTGCTTCCCCAATGCATTGATACTCAGTCTTAGTAGTTAACAAGTAAAACAGAAGAGCCATACTTAGGTTGAAGTTAGGAGCTTCACCACCAAGAAGTGCTAAAAAGTCTTGAACGGGAGTAGCCGAGGTGACATGTGTCACCAACGGACGAGTCAGGTCACTGGCACTCATGCTGTCATTTACATCCAACTTGGCCTTCTTTGTGCTCTCGTCACCATCATTGCTGCCAAAATAAAAAATACAAAGTACAATTTGAGCCTGCTGCAGCAAAACTCATTCCTTACCACTTAATCTAAACATATTCTGATCCCGTACAAATACCAACTGTACCACAAAGTTGTTCGTCATATGTTTAACTGTTTGCCCATGCTGTGAAACCTCCCAATTAAAATTCCCACCTAACTTCACCAATGTTTATAAAAAAAAAATTCAATAAACTTCATGCAATTCTTTTTGGAGCATTTTTTTTTTTTATGATGATAGCTTCATTACGTCGATTTTATAAAATTTGGCGTACTAAATATTCAGCACCCATTTTTATTACCTGAGGATGGCGCAGGAACATGCAAACCACCACTACCACACTCCCTCATTTGTTATACGCAACATTGTTTGCCCTTATTTATTGCTCCAGATATTATATCCATATTTCATTCTATCTTTCACTATTATGATAAAAATGGTATGAATAAGTTGACATGTATAAACAAAAAAATTATTTGGTGTAATATCTGTATAATGAATGTAAAGTCAACAACAGTAGAGAAACACAGTCACTCGTGAATACTCCTTCAAATAGCATATACTAAGTTTTCCATTATCTATGGATTCTTGCATTTTAAAAATAGGCAGTCAAGTAGTCTATGAATCAGGCAGGCAGGCAAAGTTTACATCTGACAAACAAATGGGTCTACAAACTGGAAACAGACTCATGTCCATGGAGGAGTGATAACAGATGGCCAGAAGTGACATTGACAGAACTAAACTTACTGTGGAAGAGATAGAAACACCTAGAAAAAGAAGCAGGACCAAACAAGATACAGTGGAACCTCGAATAACGAATTTAATCCGTTCCGGCACCGTAATCGTCATGTGAAACGGACGTCATACAAAACGAATGTCCCCATTGACAATAATGGTAATCAAATTATTCCGTTCTACCATCAAAAAACATCAATATGATACGCGATGTTTTAAATAATGGAACAGCCTACCTTACATACACTGAACAAACCTTTATGACATTTTTCTTTCTTCAAATTTGTTCAATATTTTTTTTTTTTCATTTGTCTTATAGCAAAAGGTTCGTTCGGTGGTCGGCAGGTAGGCTGCTCCATGTTTCTTAAATAAAAAAAACGAAAAATAAAAAAAAACAGTCGAAACAATTTGAAAAATGGACAAATGCCATAAAGGTTTGTTCAGTCATTCCTTTCCCCCGTCCCATCCCAAATCCTTATCCTGACCCCTTCCAAGTGCTATATACTAGGTAGTTGTAATGGCTTGGTGCTTTTCCCCTGATAGTTCCCTTCCCTTCCCTTCAGTGTTTGTCGGGTAGGCTGCTCCATTATAGCAATCTTTCTTTGTTTCAAATGTGTTCCATTTGTTTTGTATTTTTTATTTACGTCTCAATAATGGTGCAGCCTACCAGACAAACACTGAATGAACCTTTATGGCATTTGTCCGTTTTTTCAATTGTTTCAACCATTTTTTATTTTTCGTTTTTTTTTTATTATTTAACATGGAGCAGCCTACCTGCTGACCACCAAACCTTTTTGACATTTGTTCTGTTTTCAAAATTTTTCATTTTTTTATTTTGTTTTTTATTTATTTAAGAAACATGGAGCAGCCTACCTGCCAAACACCGAACGAACTTTTTTTTGACATTTGTTGTATTTCAAAAAATTCCCTTTTTTTTTCCCCTACATAAAAGTCAATGCTTTGCAACATCTCAGCATCATTAACATCTTTAAACAAAGACAACATAATTTATTTGCATCGTCAGAGGTGTCAGAGAATGTGCAAGAAGCAGTGCGACCCCCACCATGTGGTGTCGTCTTTATTCAAACGAGCGGTCGACATACGAGACGAATTGTCGGCGATCGGGCCGGTCGTTACCCAAAAAGTTCGCCATTTGAGGCGATCGTTATTCGAGGTACCACTGTATATCACTATGGTTACTGAAGGAAGCTCCAAGAATTCTGTGTTACCTAATAACTAACATTTTCGACACCAGAGGTACAGACATGAAGCACTGAACTGTAGACCAGTATCATTAACTGAATCCCAAGCAAAATACTGGAAAAATTCATCAGGAAAAGAATTGGGGGAACACTTGGAGAGAATAACTTTTGTATTGGAGGGACAACACTGGTTCAGAGGAAAAATCATGCTTAACACTTTTGTTGCCCCGGCGGGTGACCCGCCACACACCTCAAAGTCGGCCGAGCGGTGCGTGTGAACTCGCCACTACCCACAAATGTTTATACTTTTTTTAGCTTTCTGACCTTAATTTTTGTGCTATGTCTTTCAATTTGGTATCAAATTGTTCGCAATAGAATTCTCTAAATGAATATTTGCATATAAGAACATACAAGTCTCACTTTCCTATATTTTGGACCTGCTGCGCACTACAAGGTAGGCCAAGAGCTCACCACCACACAAATATGTTTATACCCTTTTTAGCTTTCTGACCTCAATGTTCGTGCTACGTCGTTCAATTTGGTATCAAACTGTTCACAATAGAATGCTGTAAAGGGCTATTTGCACATAAGAACATATAAGTCTCACTTTTCTATACTTTCGACAAACACTCAATAACTTTTCCCTCATACGTGATTCTTTCAATGCTTTCGTCATGGATTGGCTCTGTTCTTGATCAGTATCCATCTGGAAATCAATTTGCAGCGTTTATAAAGCCGGTAACAATAAATACCAGAGATAAAATAACCGGAATGGGGAAACTTTTCGACTTGAGGGAAGCCGGCAGCTGTCATAAGCGGTCACGAGAACAGTGAGCCTCCAGCGTGGTCAGGATACCATGTGGAGTATACAGAGAATGGGCAGAAGTTGGCACGCACTTTAAAACAAGTCCCATAGTATTCAGACAATAAATGGAATTTCATCAGATTTTTTAAATTAATGACGCCGTTTGCATCATCGAGCATACTCCGTATTTTGGTTTCGTGACAGAATATGCAGCATCAGACAGCGAAAGAGTTAATAAACTTTATTGAAATCTATGAAGGGGTCCTTTAAATACAGCAAGGATAGGTATCTTCCTAGACTGCTAGAAAGCTTTTGATACATTTTGATACAGTTCCTTACAAAAAATTAATACACAAGATGTAGAGGCATGCAGGGATAATGGGAAAAAGACACTAAACTGGGTAAGGGAATACCTGATGGATAGAATCTGTCATAGACAAGATATGTCAGGCTTGAGAGGCGTGGAAAGTGGGGTTTCCAAGGGCTCTGTCTTATGACCATTACCGTTTTTAATTTATGTGAATGATGTACAATATGGACTAAGATCAATGTTTGCAAAAGATGTAAGTCAATGAGGAGAGGACCCCCACTCACAAGCTTCAGAAGTGGGCAGATAAGCAGCTGCTAGAATTCAATCCAAATAAGTGATTGTAGTTTAGTAATGAAGAAAGGGAGACAAGAGGCCTGTAGGACACTACATCATAAGGTAAAGGCAACTATTGTACAAGAAAAATTAAGAGAAAGAAACATGGCGGTGGATATACTCCCAACACTAACGCCAGAAGTTCATGTGAACAGGATGTCAGTGGTACATGGGAATTTGGTGAACAGAATAACATTGTCATTGAATTGTTATAATATTTGACTAATTAACAAACACTGGTGAATGGCTAGCTTTTGTCCTTTATGTATATGTGCTTGTTTCATTCACACCTTTCTTAACCCTTTACTATTATTATGGATCTCTTCGCTGAATAATGTACTCTAATTTGGTGTAAACTAATTCAATTATAAATCTACAAATATTTATGAATAACTTGTCTGAATTTTAATAGACTAAGCATTAACAGTAGACTATTGAAAATATACATGAGAATGCAGTAATAAGAAGGATAAACAGGGGTTTACTGTATCAATGAGTTCAATATATGCATGTGACAACCACAAACAGCTTACCTAATTATTCCTCTTACCTGGCAAACAAATCTTTGTTATCCCTCTTGGTCTTCTTTATCAACTTTTTGGTTGGGAAATGAGTCTTGAGGGACGGCACAACTTTGTCTCTGGCCTCACACACACATTCTGGAGTCTCAAGAATATTCTGCATAAAGCACAGCAAATTGTCAAATCATATGTTCCAATTTACTCTTAAGGAATCAATGATACACACAGTCAACTAAGAAATAAAATGTTAACTGACTAGTAACACTTGCTTGAGGGAAAAAAACTTTGTGAATACACACAGTAAAATTATTTTAAAACAGCAGCATTGCATTATCAGGCAAAGAAACTGTTCCCCAGTGTCTTCTGCTTACCAAATCATGAGTTAATATTCCATCACAGGTGTGAAGAGTTTATCAAAACATGAGGTGCAGGGGGGGGTGGTATGGGGTCGTGGGGGTGAGAGCTTACTAAAACATGAAATGGAGGGGGGGGGGGGTATGGGGTCATGGGGGTCAAGAGCTTACCAAAACATGAGGTGCAGGGGGTGGTATGGGGTCGTGGGGGTGAAGAGCACGGTCAGTGAGAGTGTTGAAGTAATGCTGCAACTGTGGGTTTAGTACACCTGTCGGAGCCAACTCTTCCTCTCCATCTCTGGAATAATTACCAAGATTTATGAAGTTAAAAATGTATATGCAGGATATGAATAATGTTGCAAATTTAGAGGCTCACTTACCTAGCAGAAGCATCTACAGTGGCCAAAGTGGTTTTTGAATAAAGTGTTCAGAGCACTGATGCTCTAGGATGTTTAACACATGCAAATGAACTTTCACTTAATTCAAGCAGATAGCTCTTGACTGTGAATTTTTTTTATTTTTTACTAAAGCACAAATGATTAGAAATTTTTGTTTCAACTTAAGTTATTTGAGTGAAATTGCCTAATAGTCAAAATATGATATTCAAAAGCATATGTTATTCGTGAAGCATACCCTAAATTTTTAAATACAAAAGTATAAAAAATTCACACATCGCCATATTTGAAATTGTATAAATCAAACTGCAATAGGTAATTTCCAAATCCAACTTTGGAAACAAAAAAACTTTGGACTGGAAACTACAAACTTAAAATTTAATAATTTACCAATGCCAACTTCAGTAGTTAGCTAGCTCACAAAACAAACAATTACTCACTCCTCTTGACAACTAAGATCCATGGAAGAAATCAGGTCATCCATTGCTTGAATTTCATTATCATTCAAATTTTCTGTAAGACGTTGAAGGGAAGGAAATGTGTACATGCGAACTTCTTCTTGGAATGGTAATGGTATCCATATGAGACACTGCAAGAGGACACAATCATTACTGGCAGTGTTAACGTGCTAGTTTGACACTACTTATGCACCGTAATCACTGGATTACTGGCAGTGTTAAAGTGAGAGTGCGACACTACCTATACACCGTAATCACTGGACGAGGAAGACGCCTCACAATAAGGATAGGTAAACGTACCTCATATTTTGCTGTAATATCAGGGAAGAGAGCACCCATAACCGGATTATAATTATTATTATAGATCCTTCTGGTGACTGCCACCATATCCAACTCTTGTAATGCTTGAATCAGAGATGAGAAAGCCACAGCTGCTGCCTGTAAATGTACGTATATTTACTTGTATGATAATATAATATCTTGTCTTCATGTCTTCAAAAATATGTCTCTCAATGTCTCTATGTCTCTCTCTTATGTCTCTCTCTTCATGTCTCTCAAAAATACGGCACGCATAGACGCAATAAAGCACCTAAATTATTGGGATCGTCTTAAAGCCCTCCAAATGTACTCACTAGAAAGAAGACGAGAGATATATCAAATAATATACACCTGAAAGATACTGGAGGGCCAAGTACCAAATCTACACAGTAAAATAACAACGTACTGGAGTGAACGATATGGAAGAAAATGCAGAATAGAACCAGTGAAGAGCAGGGGTGCCATGGGCACAATCAGAGAACACTGTATAAACATCAGAGGTTCATGGTTGTTCAACACCCTCCCAGCGAGCATAAGAAATATTGCCGGAACAACCGTGGACATCTTCAAGAGGAAACTAGATTTATTCCTCCAAGGAGTGCCGGACCAACCAGGCTGTGGTGGGTATGTGGGCCTGCGGGCCGCTCCAAGCAACAGCCTAGTGGACCAAACTCTCACAAGTCAAGCCTGGCCTCGGGCCGGGCTTGGGGAGTAGAACAACTCCCAGAACCCCATCAACCAGGTATCAACCAGGTATCTTGGAATCAAAATTGAATCTCCAAGTAGGACACCAGATAACAATATTTATGAATCTAATAATTAAAAACTGTGTTCACATCTCAATAGAATTTTTGTGTGTATGATATAAATACAGCACAGGTAGCAATTTTCAATCAGACAGAAAAGATTTTTGCCTGGATGTTGTGAAATAACAAAATTAATTAAGCACATCCCTCAAAGAATACCTTCAAAAGAACCCATCATAAGACATCTAAAATCTGTAAGTCGTTTAGTAAAAATTACCAACATAACAATGACAGGTGCCTGTGAACAACCCAGATATAATATATATATTTTACACAGTACAGTATATGGTTATACTGTATGACTAATTTGTTTGATTTTGCCAGTGATCTGATTTACTATACTTAAGACTTGACTAAACTACTGTAATAGTAAACTTAAGTGAAGGGTGAGATAATGAACCCTTTTCATATATATAATACTAAAGGAACTGTCCCTACCATTGTAATAACAAAAATCTGCATTCTTCCTAATCCAGAAAGATGTTCCATACAAATTAATCCAAACTTTTGAAAATGTAATGTTTTCTATGGTGAGGTAAGCCATGTTTACCACAATTGCTTGGTGGATTTGTCACCATAATTTGCTAAAGCAAGATTTGTTTGCCAGCTAATACTTTTCAGACCACCAAGACTCCCATTGCAGCAGCAGCAGCCATTTGAGCAAGGATTTTCTGCAATTAGCTGTCGTTTAGAACCTCAAATGAATAGATATTATGGGACTGAATCCTGTTAAGATCAAATTGGGACAAGGTCTAATATGGCTTTTAAAACTGTTTTCCATTTGATAAACATATGAAGTTTTCTTACTGCAAATGAGAGAACATGTAAATATAAAAACAATACATTTTGCAAATAAGATATTACATAAATATTACATATAAAATACAATATCTATTTTTCTTTCATTTCTGAAATTAAACTAATATTTTTTGCCGAGTTGGTTAGATTTATTGAAAAAGCCTCGATTATTTGGATTCACCGATTAAGGTAATTATAATTTTTTGTTAACCAACTGTGTCACAGAATGGGTTTAGTTCTATTGCTATCAGCTCTATCAAGGATCCAGTGTATTTTAAGACCTTGACGGGTATCATTTGCAAAGATTATTTTGAATAATCCAATAAGATTATTGAATTACCTGCTAACACTAGGGTATGTTACGAAATTAGTGGTGCAGTTACACATTTACTTCAGATACACAACTCAATACTTACCTCTATTGATATATAATAAGGGTTCTAAAATATTATATCAAAGGGCTGCATGGCCTAATAACAACAGATATACAGTATTCCATGCACCACTATGTGTGTCTTTTAAATTTTCAAGGTGATACACAAAAATGTTTCCCAGATATTACATGGGCACTGCCAAAAGTAGATTTTTTGTCACTAAACAATACAGTATCCTTACAGGGGATAACTAATAAAACACATGACCATCCTACAAATATATTAAAAATACAGTGTACTGCAAGCAATATGAGAATGTAACTAATTCTATCACCATCTACTCTTACCAAAGTGTTCATTAAAAAAAAAAATCTTTTACAAAATATAGCTTAAATTTTTGTCAAAAATATGTTTTAGCATATTTTAAACAAAATGAAAGATAATTTTCTGCACTCATAAAACAGCCAACTTATCTTTACACTGACCTCATCTCCCTCTCGGGCAGTGATGACCAAAACCTGGTCCCCAGCACGTCTCTGGTGTGACACAGTTGATGAACGAGTAAATCCTAATATACTAAGACTGCGTGGACTGTTTGATTTGTACTTCATTTGGGCATCCTCATCTGTAATACACACAATCATAAAATATGATAAACAAATTTAATAAATTTACCAGGTATAAATCTTAAGCAAATAATATATCATGGATGTTAAAGGAGAAAATAAGCAAAGGATACAAGATATGGGGAATAGATTCAGCAAGCAGAAAAAGCTTCTTTAGACAGAGAAAACATGACACAAGAACATCAGTGGCAGTTGGAAACCTGAGCGAGTTATGGAAACACAAGAACTTTTACTTAGTCTGGGTGTTCAAAAATGGAAATGCACTGGAAGAGAATTAAATAAATGCCAAATCAAACCATTTCAAAAGCAATTACAACATAGAACTCTTCTTTCTCCTTAATGTTAAACTATTTAAGTCACATAAATAAGTGTAAATTAATGAAAATGGGTAAGGTAGATACAAGACCTGTATTTAACTACACCATAAGATGATAATTACAGGAAACAATAAGAGAACAAGACCTGGGAGTAGACATAATCCCAACACTAACACAAGAAGCTAATGTGCACAGGATATCAGCAGCAGCATACGGGAAGTTAGCAAACATAAGAATGTCAATTAAGAATCTAAGCATGGGCTTTCAAATCCTTATACACAGTGCCTATGTAAGACCATTACTTAAGTGTACAGTACCAGCATGGAACCCATGCCTTACAAAAGTAGGATAAAGGGACATCAGTGGAAGCTAGACAAGCAAATGTGCTAGAGATACAAGGAAGTTCTCATTCCCTGTACAGGTGGTCAACAAGTGGAATGCATTAAAGAAAGAAGTTGTTGAAATCAATTCCATCCACAATTTTAAGAAAAAATATGAGGAAAACATTTAGAGGTAAATTAGTGCACCAGGTATAAAAAGCTAGGAGGCAGGTCATACAGAGTAGGTCATACATACAGTGTTTAGTGCTTATCTGTCACTGACAGGTAAGCACTGAACACAGTGGAACAATCACCTCACAAGTCATACAAGAACTCCCAGAACCCCATCAACCAGGTACAACCTTATTCAATATGTAGTGATGCAATGGCTTGATGCAACATATAAATAAAAGTAAGCCAGAGATGGTACTTGCCATGTTGAATACATTAACCCATATGTTGACTTAACACTTTGTTAACATATTTTGAAATAATATATCCAGTATGTTAACAAAATCTAGTGCTGTATGTATAGCAACAGAGAGAAGAGACCAACACGAACCATTTTCAGTGGCTCCCTGTCTAGCCACCAAACCCACCCACCCAACCACTCCCAGGCCATGAGCGTAACCAGATTAGTGACGATCACAGCCAGCCACACGCCTCTTCCTCCAGCATTATTGGAGGAAGTAATGTTACATGCAACAACAGTGCACGAAAATATTCCCTTAGTAATTGTTCAAGATGTGCTAGAAGCCAAGGATCGCTCCTTCCTTAAGGTCTGGGACCTAGCCCCCATGGCCCTCCCCTCAATCAAATTTGGGAGTAATTTCTAGTGAAAAATATAAAGAGGAGTTTTGTAGAAATTAATTTAGATTTATGCAGAAAGAAAATTTGTAGAATATACTGTACTTGAAAAGTGTACTTTTAAACTTTTATGTTAAAGAAAAATTTGGATATACTGTACAGTACAGTATATCCAAAAAACTAGCATTGAATGTAACGAAACACCATTTCTTGGATGAGTCCCTGAGACTCCCTGAAGCTATCTGAAATTATATGTGCTATATTAATTTGGGGTCGTCAGTCACAGGCCTACCGGGAACCATGAGCCAGAACCTGGCTCCCTCAGAGAGGCGCAGGAAGCAATGGGCTACGAGCACTTTACATTTAAAGTATGTTGTAATTGCCATTGACTGGGGGAAGCACCCAGAAAGATAGGCAAAACAAAACAGACCACAAACTGGTGAAAATTGTGACCTATGTCCAAAAAAGCCAAAAGACTCCCCAAGGAAGAAAACAAACAAGCAACACGTCATCCAACTAGCACTTCCACTCGTTAGTACTATACCCCAGGGGTAGCCCACCCCCTCAGTTCTTGAATGATGAAAACTGCCAACCGGAGGGAGAGGGAGGGAGGGAGGGAGGGTGTCAGGGAGCCTCCAGGGCTCACCCAGAAAATGGCATTTTATTACATTCAACACTAGTTTCCAGTGGGGGAGCCCTGTCGACTCCCTGAAGCTGGCAGCACTACAGGTCTCAAGACAAAGTAGAGATAGATGGCCACGACAGTCTCCCCAACACAACACAAGGCCGAAGAGGGCCCAGGACATTCACAAGATACCTGGTGGCCAAGACCCTGTTCAACCTCCAGGCTGGCTAGACTTGATGACACTACAGACAACCCGAGACACACGAGCCCTGGAACAGGGAACCAGAGAAACCAGGGTCCCGCAGGTAGTGATGTAAAGCTGCCACCAGACACAGCGCATGATACACCTCCAGCTGAACCAACCAATGGACCCCCTCCAGAAGCATGCCGTCTCATTCTTTGCCAGAAAAGAAGAAGGGTACAAATAAACATAACGACCACCAGGTCCAAACAAGCAGAACCCCCGGCACCGGAGAAGAACATGAAACTCCCCAACTGGATCCCCCCCACCCCCGAGGCCAAAGCCACCAAAAACAAGGCTTTCCCAAAACAATTACAAACCGAAGGGACCACAACAAACCGAGGAGATGAAAGGAAAGAACCCATTCCAAAAACCAAGATGGCTCAAGTGGCACATGAGCAGGCTGGAGATGAAAAAATGCAAGAGAAAGCTTGCTTAACACAGCAGAAGTGACATCCACCCCGAACACAAGTTGCAGTGGCTCCGACAATGCCTCACAATAAGAAGCGACAGTATTTGGCATAAGATGCTGGTCCAGAAAAAGCCAAAACTGAAATGTCAAGACAACTTTAACCGACACAGATGAAACCTTACAAAGGAAAAGGAAATAGCAGAAAGACCACCAAGAAACATTATACTGTCACCGAGACAGGTGGGACTCCATCAAGGAAGCCACCTGATCACCATACAAATGGCAATATGCTCGCATCAGAAAGACCAGGCGTGAAGAGCAGAAGAGACAGCTGACCAGCGAGATACATCACCAGCCCGACCTGCTGAAGGAGGCGGAGCTGCAGAAAAACACCCGGGTTTGGACATCAAACAAGCAGCACCTGCAACCATGTGGAGGAGAATCATCCTCCCTCGATAGGATTCCAACCGAGCCAGAACACAGAGCAACAGCTGGACTGGAAAAAATAAGACAGGAACCCCCACCACGACCAGTCCAGCCGAAAAGCATCCACCATGAGGGCCTTGTAGTCGGGAAACGGCACCACATACAGTGGGAGATGCCGAGACCACGCCAACGCAAAGAGGTGCTCCTCCGGTCGCCCGTACGTCCGACAAAGCCACAGGAAAAAGACGGTGTTGACCGTCCACTTTTGGAAAATAACGAAAGCAGTAAGCCTGTCACCCCCACTACGAAACCAACCAATCCCTGAACCCCCAGATGAATAGGGACGTGTCAATAATCATCCTTGAGGTCCAGGGAAATCATCTAAGCACCCGGTTCGAGAAGAAGCCAGACCTGGGACAACATGGTCATTCGAAAGGAGGGGCAAAGAATCAATCGATTCAGACGAGACAAGTCCAGAATGTACCGGAGATTCACACAGTCCCATTTCAGATCCGGAAACAAGCAGGAAACCCACTTGAGAGACGAAGTCATTTCAACCATGCCCAAGGGAAACCACTCCAAGATGCCTCGATAGAAGGACGGGGAAGAGGCCTACCCCCGATAGAAGGAAGGGCCACCCAATGCCACCAAAGGCCAGAAGAGACAACCCAAAAAGCCCATGAATCGCAGGACTATGCACGGGCAAAAACAGCCAGCCTTCCCCCCCCCATCGCCCCGTCAATGTTGCAACCCGCGAAAGGACCGAGGTAAACCCTGAGAAGCCAATTGTCACACAGAGTGAACACCGCACCGACCAAATGAAGAAAGCCCCTGGGAACTCACCAAAGCAGAAACTGGCACCCAAGGCCTACCCTAACCAAACGAGGCCCAATCCCTGGCACGACCCGACCGACAGGTTCTGGAACGACAACCACCCCCACCCCTCCCCAGAGCACCAATAAGCCTGAAATAGGATGCCAACTGGCTGGAGCCGCCGACAAAAACTGGGCAACGCTGTCCTCAGGGAACAACAGAGGACAGAACGACGACAAAGACTGCACAGTCAGGGTCCAAGCCAAATCCAAAGAGAGCACGGGCAGCTTGGTGAGATGAGAGGTGAAAAATAGAGATCACCTCTTGGAGGATCAGCACAAACAGCTTCAGCAGGGCAGACGCTGCCTCAGCAGCCAAAACTAGAACCCCAGCTGAAGGCCCCTCACTCAATGCCCCCACATCCTCCGAAAGCGAATCCGAAGACAGCTCCAGAAGACCAGAGAAGTATAAGACCAAGGCCAAATGACCACAAGTCCAAAAGTTATCAGCTGCCAAAGCAGCTGAAAGAGTGGGAACCTGAGCATGCAACTGTACCAGACCCACATTACGAGGAAGCCCATGGGAAAAGAGGCACTCACTGCGGAACTCAAGTGAAGCCCCTAAGAATACCTGCAACACCGTAAACACCTCTTGCCATTCAAGCATTCGGGTATGACAAAACCCACGTCAAACTCCAAGAGAAAAGAAAGGGCAGTTTGCCAGCCAGAAAGACTCCAGAATCTCATAACGAGCCCAATACGGCGAAGAAGAACCAAACTCAAATGAAGCCGGATCCATCACAGTCTTAAAACCGGGTCTCCTGAACCTCCTCAGGGAAAATCCAAGAGGAATGAAACCTCCAGAAGGAAACCTCTGGAAGGACAAATCTGAGGTACTGTACTGAAGGGCACCCGGAAACAAACCCGGGAAGTGAGCCGCACCCAACTCAAATTTATAAAGGGACGTAGGGTAGGAAAAATCCCTCCCCTGCAGCAATAACCTCTGCCCAGAAGGCACAAGGGCCCAAGCAGAGTCAAAAGAAACTATAGTGTTCCAAGTGGACTTCCCCTGAGCCCTGGGAACCCCAGACACAGGCCCCAGGGCAGAGCCCTCTTCCACGCCCACCACCCCTGAAGAAAAGGTGGCATCTAGGGAAAAAGTGTCAAAGAAAAGTGTTGGCTCGATTGACCCAGAAGCCTCAGCAGAAAAATCGGGATCAACCTCCTCCCCGCCAGAAGGGGCAGGCCCCGAAGCCACCCGAGCCTCATCCTAAGCTAAACCCCACCCCGACTCCGAAATCCTCAGACGTTTGGGAGCCAGAAGCAGGGGCAGAGAAGCTGGGTGAACCCCAAAACCACATGGGAAAGAAACGTAGGACATAGACAGAACCAAGGTGGAAGCGACCAATGCCCCCAAATCAGAGTCCCTAAAACCCAAACGTGGCAGCTCCAGGACCTCCAACCAGGCAACAAACTTGGCCCGTTGCAATAAGAAGAATTGAGCATGCAACACAGCTGCAGCCTGATTCCAGAGATCATCAGACAAGTGATGGGTAAATTGAAGCACAAGCAGGGAACAAATCCCGCAAGACTCCAGGTCGTAGGTGTTGTCATGCTACCCAACAAGGTAGCATGACAGAGGCAGTACAGATGAGCGTCACCCTGAGGCAAGAGTGATGAACAACCTTCAACTTCACACAAAGTGAAAGAAAACTCAGAAGACATATCCATGGTACCAATAACACTCTGCACCTGGGGCAAGACAGAAAGCCCAAGACCCCCAACATATCCCAAGGGTGAAGACAATGCCAAAGAACCAAGTCCTCAAAAGGAAGTGATTCCCGAACGCACCAGGGAAGATAACCTGAAACACAAGGGTAGTACTTACGGAGCACCTAGGGAAGATCACCCTAGGCGCTACACAGGTCAAATTCCAGAACAGGAACATAAGGCCAGAGGTGACCGAGCTGACCGCCAGCACATCAGTTAAAGAACTGAGTGGGCAGGCTGCTGGCTCACCTGAGCCAGCTCCCCCATTTTCCCTTCAGAGGGTGGAGGGTAGCACTAACGAGCGGGGGTGCTAGTTGGATGACATGTTGCTTGTTTGTTTTCTTCCTGGGGTAGTCTTTTTGCTTTTTCAGACATAGGTCACAATTCTTACCAGCTTGTGGTCTGTTTTGTTTTGCCTATCTTTCCGGGTGCTTTCCCAGTCGATGGCAATTATGACATACTTTAAATGTAAAGGGCTCGTAGGCCATTGCTTCCTGCGCCTCTCTGAGGGAGTCAGGGTTCTGGCTTGTGGTTCCTGGTAGGCATAAGGACTCCAGTGACTGACGACCCCAAACTAATATAGGACACAACAGTTTGGATAGCTTCAGGGAGCCAACGGCCTCCCCACAGAAAATAGAGAACTTACCTGAAAATGGCACCAAAGTTGTACCATACTTGTAACCAGGAATAACATCCTCTTCATTTACTACAGTTTGTGCATCATCATACCGATGATATGATGTTTCATTGGTTATCACAGCCGATTCTTTGTGAGCATGCATTTTCTTCCATGATGGTGCAGTCGAGTGCTTTACCTAAACATGAGAGAGAGAGAGAGAATCTAGAGTGGAAAGATTATTTACTTATGATTAACCAGTTATGATTGGCTAAAAAAACTATAGCTTCCACATGTTGGGGCAGATGATCATACACTGTATTTGAGCTTCATAAACAAGCTTAGAAAATAGTATACAGTACAGTAGTAAATTGAAAAATAAAAAAAAAAATGGATGTTTATCTATTTTTATAATCCACTCCACTTTAAATAAATAAAGTTTTGAACATGTAAAACAGCTCTCCGAGCATAGCATTTTGATGCTCCCTAAATCATGATCACTACTAGTCCCGGCGGGAAGGTCCACGACACTCTTGTCTCGAGCTTCATCACATTCCTAGCTAAGAAGGCTTTCAATATTTATCCAAGAGGCTGACTTCCGAGTTATACACCTGGATGCTAGCTAAGGTAAGTATGAGGCGTAAGTGAAACACAGAAAACAGAAAGAAACAATGGAGGAGATTCGCCGCAACTGCAGTGTGAAGCTCCCTAAACTGACAGTCTTCTGTGCTAGATTCTTTGACTGCAACACCATTTTTGAGGGGCCCTATCAATTTCAAGGGTCAACAAAAAAAATTAAAATTAGCATTTTATAATATATATATATCTCGAACAGAAAAATCTGCTCTTTCTAGCTGTGCCATTAGCAAAAATAGTGACCAAAAAATTATATTGGAAGTTTTGGAGTCAATCACTGAACTTGACCAATGATTGGCCTTTAAAATCTATCTAGAGAATGCTCACTTATATACTGTACTTGGCGAAATAATTTGTATTAACCTTGATTCTGCCGGTGATAGCAATCTGGAAATCTGGACCAATTTCTAACAAGGTGTTCCATGGGGCACTGTTGGAGGAATTTTTTTGGAAGAAAATGAGCTGTGGTATTGCCTCATCAAAGCTGCAGATGATACCATCAACCTGTAAACAAAACACTTCATAATACCTACTCTCAATAAATATTTGGACAGTCAACAGGCAAAAGAAATTCATATTGAATATTTACATTTCAATAAACCTACAGTTATCTTGAGGTTATCTTGAGATGATTTCGGGGCTTTAGTGTCCCCGCGGCCCGGTCCTTGACCAGGGCTCCACCCCCAGGAAGCAGCCCGTGACAGCTGACTAACACCCAGGTACCTATTTACTGCTAGGTAACAGGGGCATAGGGTGAAAGAAACTCTGCCCATTGTTTCTCGCCGGCGCCTGGGATCGAACCCAGGACCACAGGACCACAAGTCCAGCGTGCTGTCTGCTCGGCCGACTGGCTCCCGTTCCAGTTCCATGAACATTGAAAACAAAACACAGTGTAAATCAATAGCAACAGTTTTAGTTTAGAAAATGAAAAACTTGTTGGGAAAGGAGTTGAGAAAATAGTAAATTTTCTCTTAAATATTGCATTTTTATTAATTAAAATATAAAGCTTAGAGTAAAAATCTATCTACCAAACTTGGTAGCCAGCTGCAAAAATATCTGATGTGTTCATTTATATTTCAACTCAATTTCTCTCTTGCATCTCTTACTTTATTACATGGTACACCATATAAAGTTAACTACAGTACTCAAAACTGATACCGTCTACATAAAAATCATGCACTTGCATATTTTCATTTACAGTACAGTGCTGGAATTCAGTTTATTACCATATGTAATCTCTTCTTGTCTCACATATGCCTAAACATTTCCAATATTATTGTCTTGAACAGCTACCAGATCCCCTCACTTGCATTTGCTATGAGCAATCAACAGTTACCCTTCACTAGCTTGTCTTGAATAACTAATACAGTGGTTCTCCCCCTCACTTAACATTATCCATCCTCAGAGCATTCACTCGTACCGTGAAGGGGTTTTCAGTGGTTGGTAAAGGGTCACCACCCAACCCGTTCTCACAAATTCGTAAAGTCAATATTGACTTATTAACTACGTGCATAGGTGATATACTAAACATAATAGATACCCTTAAAAAGATTCATAGAAAACACCGACCTTACCTAACCTTGTTAGTATCTTAAGATAAGCATCTTATTGCTTCGTAATTACAATTATTACTTAACCTATACCTATTATAGGTTAGGTAATAATTGTAATTACGAAGCAATAAGATGCTTATCTTAACATACTAAGTAGGTTAGGGTAAGGTCGGTGTTTTCTATGAAGCTTTTCAAGGGAAACTATTATGTTAAGTATGTCACCTATGCACAAATTTAATAAGTCAATATTGACTTATTAAATTTGTGAGAACGGGTTGGCACCACCGCTGATCTTCAAGTTGAGTAACAATAACAAGGCTCCACTGACTTGAGGCCCAGCTACAAAAGAATCATGTTCCCGAGAGACAATGTCACAAGCATTTGACGTTTCAGTTGAAACTTTTATACACACCAGAAGATGGACAAATATTATGCAGATTGCAGACTATATAAGAAATATTAAAAGTAAAAGTTTAAAAATATAACTAAAATATAGCTAATGAGTGTCAAAATTGTATTATACAGAGACTATCCTTACTCACTGACTAGTTCATGAAGTGAATTACCTAAAAAAATACAAACTAATTACATATACCCTGTAGTAGTCAACAACAGAGAACTTGATTGATGTACAATACTGTATTACATCAAGGATATACCATTTATGGGAAGATCTAATCAACAACAAAAGGGTAGCTAAAGTTTCAAGCTTTCATTCTACTAATCAAATATAGTATCGCACAATTACAATTTATACAAGTACTGTACTTCAATTAAGTGTTACTAACTTCTGCCACCACCCTAGTCACTAGAGCTTCGCCTGCAAGTTGAACTGCCGACTTGGGTTTGCCGTTCCAGTTCTGAGCCACCTGTATTTTGCCATTACGTGCACTGTTCACTCCAGTGGAAGGTCCAGGATTGTCTTCGTCAGAGTCCTCTGCATCATCATCGTCATCATCCATAATATCTGGCCCTCTGGAAATAGGTAATTCACTCACATTAACTCTTAAACAATAACAAATTAAGCAATAGATGTTAATTGTTAATACTGTATATGATAAGCTTAACTTTTATAAACAAATATTGTACTATTATAAGATATATATGTAAACACAATGGAATTTAATGTAGTTTTGTACAGAATGAACGCTCTCCCATATAAACACTTTCGAATTAACGAATTAACGAATTAACACTTTCGCTGGCCTCATGGGCAATGCTAGGCCACACACTGTAAGGTCGGCCTAGCGTTGCCCATGAGCACACAACCTCACTCCAATGTTTATACTCTTCTCGGCTTTTTCACCTCAATTTTCGTGCTATGTTGTTCAATTTGGTATCAAATTGTTGGTAATAGAATGCTGTAAAGGGATATTTGCATATTAGAACATATATGTCTCATGTTTCTATACTTTCAGTGAACACTCAATAACTTTTCCCTCATACGTGATTCTTTCAATGCTTTCATCATGGATTGGCTTTGTTCTTGATCAGTATCCATCTGGAAGTTAGTTTGCAGTGTCTATAAAGCCTATAACAACAAATACCAGAGATAAAATAACCAGAATGGGGAAACTTTTCGACTTGATGGAAGGCCACGGCTGTCACGAGCGAGGTTATGAGAACAGTGAACCTTCAGCGTGAGTGGTCGCCCATACGGCAGAGTCGGGATGCCACATGGGGTATACAGAAACTGGGAAGACAGTGGCGCGCATTTTAAAACAAGTCCCAAAGTATTCGGACAACAAATGGAATTTTTACAAATTTTTAAATTATTGACGCCGTTTGCATCATCCCCCACTGTGCTTAATTAAGTTGGTTTTATGATGAAATATGTGTGATCAGGTAGCGAAAGTGTTAACTACAACGAATAATTCTTTTTTATTTGAACAGCTACTTTTTCAAACAGGAAATTAAAAATAAGTTTAAATGGTGGATTAATACACAAGCTAGTCAATATGGGTTTAATATGACAGCAATAAATCTTAACAAATCAAGTATAAAAGATTATTCAGGAACGTTAATGTGGTGAACATAACTGCTCAAACCAGAAATGCATTTAATAGCACAGTAGATCAAGAACTGTATGTGTTAAACCAATCTTCATCTAATATCAGAACAAAAACCATTTAATGCTCACTTACATAACATTTAACTCTATGCCCTGATTCTTGAGTCCTGCAATAATCTTTGAGGTCTGGTCATCACTAAATTCTCCACTGAAGTCCGTTAACAGGACAATCTTCTTGCTAGTAAATCGTCCCCCACTGGAAAGACAATACGTATAATTTTGCTGTTCTCATGAAATAGCATACAACTCTGCCTTGAAGATACTGGCCACAATATTTTGTAGATATATTCTTGTAGCCTCTAATACTCATAACATTTCGGATAAGTCTTAAAGGCAACTCAAAATTTGCAGTGAATTCTATGTTACAAGGCAAAGCAGCCAGTCTTAAACCTGCACATCATTGGACATGTTCACTGAACATTTTTGAGACAATATCTGAAGCTTGCCATTTCCTGATAGATATAAGGGTTCTGCAGAATTTTACAGGATGCATCACCCAAGGAGGGAGCTTGCTGTAGTGAAAAGGAAGTACAGTATGTTAGTAATGAAGTGAACGGTGCATCAAAGTCTTTGTGCACACCCCAAATATGAAAGGAAGTGAAGAAATCTGTAAGGATTTTGGCATAGTGTGCCCGAAGTAAACAACTAGAAGCCATGTTGACCAGACCACACACTAGAAGGTGAAGGAACGACGACGTTTCGGTCCGTCCTGGACCATTCTCAAGTCGATTGTCGAACTAGAAGCCATCAACTAGAGTTCAGTGTATGTGCTATACAGTATATGTATAAAGTGTATATGTGATTGAAGAAGGAACGGGAAAGATAACACCACCCATTTTTTTTTCTAGAGATGTAAGCATTATCTTTTATTGCTTATGCCTCAAAAGTATAGAAAAGAGCTATTATTTCCCCCCTCAAACTTTGCTTTGACCTTAACCCAAGATGGCTTAGGAATGATGTCTTTAAATTAAGGTACTTGAAGGCTTTCAAGTATTCTAAACCTCTTTCCTAGGCTGTACCAGATAAATGTCAAAAGTAATAATAATAATAATAGCCATTTACTATACTCTGCAGGCATTAACAATCAGAAAATAACACTTACAGCCCAAGAACAAAAATAGTTAGTGTGTAATATTTATACAGCATTCACTAAGCATTACATATAATAAAGGAAATAGTATACTCACTCTGGATCATGCAAAAGGTCCATGGCAACCACCAAAGCATCTAGCCAGTCCCCTGAAGATTTACCATAAGGAAGTTGGTCCACTTCAGTTATCACCTCCCAGTCCACAGTTTGTAACTCACGCAGAACTGTTGACAACACATTCATCTAATTAACAAACCATAAACTACAAATAAATTAACAACAAAGTGATAATCAGTTTAGAGAAAAGGTCTGGAAACATGGCAATAGCTGGAGGTGTGCGCAGTGTCTCTCCTTCCAACATTCACAATACCTTTGAGTTTTCAGAACCTACTGTTACATGGCAACCATTCCGATCATGACGGTCTACCGGTTTTACAGGAAGATCCAGAGGTAGTTTTCCTGGACAGTAAACATCACAGTAAGACGAACAGATTAATGGCAAACAGATTAGAGGCGAAACGCCGCCGGCCCAGAGGTACCCAGTGATTGCCCCGATCCTACGCGGCCTCGGTATCAACATCCTCGTCTCACTCATGGTAGGACAAGTTTCCTAGTTTGCAAACATTCATCATTGCCTTTGATGATGATTCGTCAATTGATAGGAGTGTTTTTGGAAATAGCAGGGCACAAAGTATCCTATATATTGCCATTCCCAAGTTATTTAAGATTAAAGTGCACAATATCAGACCGAATAAACGAAGGAACTTAATCGCAGTGGACCACAAACACAGCGAAGACCTAGAGCTTTCAGACGTTACTGAAATCTGTGGTTACAAAGTCAGATGCTACAAACCACTGGGTGACTGATTAGCAAGATATGTAGTCCAACATGTTGTAGGCATTAGTACAGACGACATCAAGGCACAATTTCAGGCTGCTGACATTCCAATCTTTGGAGTCAAGAAATTTATACGTAGAACTAATGGAGAATTGAGTGAGACTGGCATTGCCCTACTTACTTTTATTAACTACTTTTCCCCTGATCGGGTTTGGATTAATGGCTTCCGCCATAAACTAGAGGTATACATTCCACATTGCACGTCCCTGTCAGTGCTTTCGATGTAAAGGTTTTAACCATACCTTAAAAGGCTGCACCAGTAACATCAAAAGTGGAAAATGCTCTGGTTCCCATTACACAAAAGACAGTGTTAGATATAATGTGCTGCTCAAACTGTGGTGGTGATCATGACATTACACTCAAACAATGTCCTTCATATATAGATGCACAAACTAAGGCTCTCCCCACCATCAACCTGCAATACAGTTGTGCACTGAAACAACATAACAGTCCGTCATCAACCACTACCTCACACTCCACAGCCACCTTTGCTTGTGCTAGATATGGCTGTCACTGACATTCCTGTAACCCCAGAGTCCAATCCTCTCCCCACACACCGGACAACTGAGTCCCGATCTTGTTGAAACACTTGTTACTCGCATTGAAAATGCACTTGAAAAGGTGCTGGACATGACAAGTGCAAAATTGAATCATGAGTTCATGGGCCAAATGAGCCCTTAACTCTGTTTCTTCTTAACATGTACAAAACCAAAAGCTATATATTTGTTTTTAGCTGTGTTTCCTTACTTTTTACATGCATATGTATGGTTTAAAAAATGCACACAGGCAGTGGTATCATTTATGATAGCATCATTTACAAGGATAAAATATATATGAAGTCTAAATTAAAGATATAAAGTTTTAAAAAGGGATAGAAAACAAGAGAAAAACTAGCTTCTACACTATTTGGAGTAGAGCTAATTCTCATTACAGTAATCTGTGTAGGAAGAATGTGGGTACAAAGAACTGTACAAATCTCTCAAACTATACTGTTGTATAACATATTTACCAGGAGCTTCATTCAGCTCCTTATGCTTTGCTTTCTTGAACATTTCTCACTATTAACCACTGAATGACTGCCAGCCAGCCCATCCATCAGCCAGTTTGTCCATCAGCCAGCCAGCCAGCCAGCCAGCCGGGCGGGCGGGCAGGCAGGCGCCTGCCCGCCCGCTTAGACCACACTAAGTCTAAACACAGATTTTCTGTCTCCAACAAGGGAATGCCATTAGCCATAATGCAAATTTCTGAGTTTCTACCATTGCATCATCCTATAGATTAAGGACTGCACATTCACTCAAAACTAAAAGTAAAATTACATCAAAGATGACTTTAAATTAAATGTGAAGATAACAAAAATATATTTACAGTACAATACTTGTAATTTGTCATTAGGACCATTCACCAAATCATGGTAATTTAAAGACCCTGTATTACAATATCTATTCCAATACTGGAGTATATTGTATACCTTCCATGTTCCAATATGTTAAGAGTATACAATATTCAAAGAGTTTCTATTATTTTTTAAATTTCTTTCTACACACACATGCAGGAATTATAGTTTTTTTCCAGTGCTGATGTCCAGTAACCAGCAACTGTCTCATTTCAGGTGACATTGACCAACGAAACTTTTGAAGTGTTATAATATGATTGAAAGAGCCATTACTTAAACAGAAAGCAGGAGAACAATGATGTGAAATGCTGAGAAAAAAAAGAACTTCAGAAATAAAGGAAAGAATGTACATTATATACAATGAAGATGCCTCACCTGTGATGTGCCGATATTGGTCATTACTTGCCAAGTTATTATTCGTGTCATTGGTTCCAAACAGCACAATGCCAACTTGGTCCCGACACTTCTCTGCAAACATCTGTAGGATTTCAGTTTACTTTACAAACAACCACCTCAAAAAATTATACTGTATTACAAATTTGAAAAAAGAATAACATAATAAAATGCAAGACATAATTACTCAAATAATTTCAAGTGGCATCCAGCAATTGTTAATGTACTGTCATGCCATCTGTACTATTCATGCCATCTCAATTAACAGTCTTCCTAGACATTACAACACACAAATAATAACGTCACTACCTTGCGCTGCAAAATGTTTGTTAAGCATTTCTTGGACTGAGAGTAGAATGTCTTGTCAACTCCTGCTCGAACTCCAGGACCAACATCCATCACCACCACAATTCCCTCCTAGAAATCGTTATACAATACAGGAATAACATATACTGTACAACATATATATTATGTATAATGTAATATTACTGATGATTCTAGCATACCAAATGATAGGTTAAATGAAATGTATATATACAATTTGAGGGAAAATATACATCAAGATGTCCTAATCTCTTTTTCATAGAGAGAGTATCCAATTACAGGGATTGACTTTATCATCCACTTCCATACATTTTGTGAAATTATGGTCATTGTATGCCACTGTGTTTAAAACTGAACAGTATAACCAAAATAGGACTTAACAAGGGGAAAGATAAAGCAGAAAAATATCTGGTCTTTATGCTTATACTTAGATATAAATAACTTAATTGCCTAATTTAAAACAATGTAACATTTTTTTTAGTTTACAATGCCCCACTAATCATGACTCCTACACATTCTCCACATTCAGATTCAGCAAATTTAGTAATGTCCAACTTTGTATCTGGAAACTATTACTATCAAGGCTCAGAACCCTACATTTGCCAGCATTAATCTGCATATCTTGAGATGGGTTATCTTGAGATGATTTTGGGGCTTTAGTGTCCCCGCGGCCCGGTCCTCGACCAGGCCTCCACCCCCAGGAAACAGCCTGTGACAGCTGACTAACACCCAGGTACCTATTTTACTGCTAGGTAACAGGGGGCATAGGGTGAAAGAAACTCTGCCCATTGTTTCTTGCCGGCGCCCGGAATCGAACCCGGGACCACAGAATTACAAGTCCAGCGTGCTGTCCGCTCGGCCAACCGGCTCCCCCATTTTGCATATGCCCATTTTGTAATCATTTTAAAAGCATATCTAAATCATCTAGTAAAGATCCATTCTTCCAAATTGATTTCTTGCACTAATTTAGAATACTCTACATATCTGCTAATATTGCTGATAAATCCTATATTTAAATTGTTTATACTGTATTATATATGTATGGTAAACAATAGTGTTGTTCAACTTCAAGAGAATGAAATGGGTCATCCAGCTGCACAAATCCTTTGTTCAACCCCATCTGTAAATCAAATCAAAATCAAAATCAAATATTTATTCAGGTAAAGTACATACATACAAGGTGAGATACAAAACACTGATGGATTTATAGATAGAGCTAGTACATACAATGCCTAAAGCCACTATTACGCAAAGCGTTTCGGGCAGGAAAAACACTAAGACTGAAACTTAATACTAATTGAGATTGAAGTATAAATTGTGTTGAGAAAATAAAAAAAAATAATAAAAGGGGGAAACATGGCAGAAAAATAGCAAATATAATCCACAAATCCACATTCTGAGTCCCTTGATTTGTAAAGCATTTCTAGTTTGATTAAGTCGTACTCTTGGAATATCAAATACGTATTTGTTTCTGGTGTGGTGGTCATGGGTTCTGTTACAACTTTCTAGGAAGCTTTTAAGGTCAGGATTGACATTACAGTTCAGCATTTTATATATATAAAATACACATGAGAGGATGTGCAGTCACCGAGGGTACCGAGTGATGTCTGGAGCCAGAGTTAGATATTGTCCTAATAGCAGCTTTGTGTTGAGTAATTAGAGGACGTAAATGATTTTGTACTACTGTACAGTATCCTAGCATGGAGACCTCGCCTACAAAATGGCATTATAATACTGGACAATTTCAGTAAAACAATGAAAATCATCCTAGAACCAAGTAAATTCTTTACACACAGAAATCACAATAGCGTGATGCATCAAATGAACAAATCCATAAGGGCCGTGACAACCCTCGTCTGAACCCTCATCACGGCCCTTGTGGATTTATTCAAGTAAATTCTTATTCTGGGAAAGACTGAGGGCTACAAGCCAAACAAGTGTTCAAACAAGACATGACGGCTCATCTTGTCAATACTTCTAAAATACTAAATGTGTCAGAATTTGTTAATCCATACCATTTTTTTACAAGTTCCAATGTGACCCACACAAGAAGCAATGCTTTGATGATTGTTAAGCCTCAGTGAAGGCCAGATAGCATGGAATGTTTTTTCACCCATAGGGTAATAATAAACCATGGAGCCATTCGTGCCATAGCTTTAAAGACCAAGAAAAGGCTACAGATTTGTATTTTATTTATTTAGATATACAGAACAAGAGTTTATACATTCTTGTAAAGCCACTAGCATGCATAGCATTTCAGGCAGTTCCTTAATCTTAATTTTCCCTGGAACACGACCCACCAAATCGTTTAACCACTGCACCGCACCAAACAACAAATGTCGCTCTGAGGGTTGTGTTTTTTTTTAATTAGGCCATATTTTATGGCTTTTTAATTTTTCATCACTCTTTGCGATTTGAAATGAAAATGATTGACTTTGGAAACATTTTGACATTAACATTAGCTGAACATCTATAAAAACAACAAAAATATGCCCTTAAAAACTGTGCCATGTTTGAATTTGCCAATTTGCCCAAAAAAAAAAAAAAAAGTTTGCCAAAAACAGGTGTGCAGTGCAGGGGTTAACAACCAGGTACTCATCCAATGCTGGGTGAAGAGAGGCTACAATTAAGGATTGGTGTCTAATCAATCCTCCCCGGCCAGGATACGAACCTAGGCCAAAGTGCTCACAAAGCGCCAGGCAGGATCAAAATACAGGTTGAAAAAATCATCAGGAAGATTAGCAAAACCTTCCACAAGCCACTAACATACTCTTCCCCATTGTGGATTGAGATACAGTAATAGTCCTGCAAACTGGGGGAATAGTACATACCCTACCCTACCCTAATTAAACTAGCCTACACATAACTGGATGCGGGTTACATCACACCCAAGAGGCTTTGCTAATGTGTTTTAAAACCTACCTAATCAAACCCATTCTAAACCTGCATAACCTAACACACCCTGGCCTAACAACATACAAGTATATATACGGTCTTAACAATTATAAAACAAGTTTAATCAACGTGTTGGAAAAAGTCATATTGTATCTACACTTGGTTAGGTTACAGTGAGATACATTTGGTTAGAATATAGCTTAAGAATATGTTTGGTTAAGTGTATTCTGGGTATAATTCTGTTAAGTCTGGATAAGTTAGGTAAGCATAATTTGTTGATACTTTTCCCAAAACTCTCTGTTCACGGCAATGATATCAGTTTAAATGACTTTTGAGGCAGACAAATTAATGCAAATCTCTCTTGTTATTTCCATGTCCCAGCCTTTAAAATTAGGTATAAAAACGTTCTCTTAACCTATACAAACAAGAGCAAGTTTTCTCAATTAAAGTTGTAGTCTCCTACGAGACGGTACTCCTGCCTTTTATTCCCAACTAATATGACCGAAAATACCAATGTTAACTAGTGAATACACATTGTAACTACAAATCATATTCAGTTACCAATTATTGCTCTTTGAATAACCTGGTTGATGGGGTTCTGGGAGTTCTACTCCCCAAGCCCGGCCCGAGGCCAGGCTTGACTTGTGAGAGTTTGGTCCACCAGGCTGTTGCTTGGAGCGGCCCGCAGGCCCACATACCCACCACAGCCCGGTTGGTCCGGCACTCCTTAGAGAAAACTATCCAGTTTTCTCTGGAAGACGTCAATAAGGTTAAGTCAGTAGCAAGAAGTAACTAAGCCGTGTGGAAACTATTTCCGCCACTTGTGCACGAGGTTCCCCTCCCGCCCTACACCTACCCCTACTTGACATCGAGGCGGCATCGTGTATGAGCCGTGGCGGACACCTGGCGGCGAGGACACCAGCAGGAGGTCGTGTGGCAACTGTGTTGTTGTTGACACCCGCGTCTCCCGCCTTCGGATCCTCCTTCCCGCCACTATCCTGTGTTCGGATCCCTGCTCGCTCGGGAGACAGGAGGCCAGTATTCACCTAGTTGTGCTTGCGGGGGGGTTGAGCTTTGGCTTTTTGGTCCCGCCACTCAACCGTTGATGTGAAGACTTATACTGAATTTTGTAACTAGCTCATCAAGATTGTAACTTGCTTAGCTAAATAAATGAATAGCTAAATTCTGCCCGAAACGCTGCGCGTACTAGTGGCTTTACAAGAATGTAATTACTATGCTATGTATCCTCACACTCCCAATGTACCTTCTTGTATATATATAAATAAATAAATAAATAAATAAAGAAATAAAATAAATTGTGGGGTTCAGTCCCTGAGCGCATTATGTGCCTCTGTAACCCTTTCCACTACCGCCCGCAAGATGGGTATGGGGTGCATAATAAATGAACTAAACTAACTAAACCACTCAACCATCAACTGGTGTACAGATTCTGGAGCCTATTGAGTTCTATCAAATCTATATTTATTTTAAACTTAGTTCTTAGTTTCACATTTGAAACTGTGTATGTGGAGTCTGCCACCACCACTGGGGGGCCCTGTAGCTGAGTGGACATCGCTTGGGGCTCGTAATACTAGGGTCCGGGTTCGATCCCCGGCGATGGCGGAAAACAAATGGGCGGTTTCTTTCACCCTGATGCCCCTGTTACCTAGCAGTAAATAGGTACCTGGGAGTTAGACAGCTGTTACGGGCTGCTTCCTGCGTGTGTAATTACCTAAGTGTAGTTACAGGATGAGAGCTACGCTCGTGGTGTCCCGTCTTCCCAGCACTCTTTGTCATATAACGCTTTGAAACTACTGACGGTCTTGGCCTCCACCACCTTCTCCCCTAACTTGTTCCAACCGTCTACCACTCTGTTTGCGAAAGTGAATTTTCTTATATATCTTTGGCATCTGTGTTTAGCTAGTTTAAATCTATGACCTCTTGTTCTTAAAGTTCCAGGTCTCAGGAAATCTTCCCTATCGATTTTATCAATTCCTGTTACTATTTTGTATGTTGTGATCATATCACCTCATTTTCTTGTCTTCCAGTTTTGGCATATTTAATGCCTCTAACCTCTCCTCATAGCTCTTGCCCTTCAGTTCTGGGAGCCACTTAGTAGCATGTCTTTGCACCTTTTCCAGTTTGCTGATGTGCTTCTTAAGATATGTGTGTATGTGTGAAAAAAAAAGTTGATTTGACAGTTAAGAGGCAGGCCAAAAGAGAAGAGCTCAACCATCGCAAGCACAACTAGATGAATACATCATTGCCTAATGCATTTCTTTTGTTAACTACTCTGACACTGAAAAAAATTATTTCTAACGTCTCTGTGGGTCATGTGGGTACTGAGTTTCCACCTGTGTCCCCTTGTTCGTGTTCCACCCGTGCTAAATAATTTGTCTTTGTCCACCCTGTCAATTCCCCTGAGAATGTTGTAGGAGGTTATCATGTCTTCCCTTACTCTTCTGTTTTCTAGGGACGTGAGGTTTAGCTCCTTTAGACTTTCCTCGTAGCTCATACCTCTCAGTTCTGGGACTAGTCTGGTGGCATACCTTTGAAACTTCTCTAGCATTGTTCTGTGTTTAACTAGGTATGGACTCCAGGCTGGAGCTGCATACTCCAGGATTGGTCTGACATAAGTGGTATACAAGGTCCTGAACGATTCCTTTACCAACATTACATACATACATACATACATATACTGGTATATGTATGTATGTCCCTGTGCCTTTTTCACCACCTTCGAGGTCAACCCCGGAACTCACAGTTCCTGCGACGTGCAGTGAGTTAATATCTAACATAATATCCGTCTCAGCATCGTAGCATAAATAGGAAGGGAGAAAAAAAATATTGAATTGTATCAAAATTTTTCCAAAATGGTCAAAACTTAACATCAAACAAATGTGTCAACTGAAATCATGTCTATGACTCTCAGCTATCACAATAGCATATAATACAAACAATTAATAATTAGTTTTATCAAAAAAAAATTTGTTAAAAAAAATTGATTATTTTTTATTTGTTTATCCGACTGCATCTAGCATCTAGCGTAATTTCAGTGCCATCTGTGTAGCTCCACTCTCTAGAGTGGAGTACTGCTGCACAATGACAGCCCCTTTCAAAGCTGGAGAAATTGCTGACCTGGAGAGCGTGCAGAGATCCTTTACTGCTAGAATCCACTCAGTAAAACATCTAAACTATTGAGACCGACTAAAGAGCCTAAATCTGTACTCCCTGGAGCGCAGGCGGGAGAGATACATAATAATTTACACGTGGAAAATATTAGAGGGGCTGTCCCAAACCTGCACACAGAAATAACATCACATGAGACCAGAAGACATGGCAGGATCTGCAGAATACCCCCGTTGAAGAGCAGAGGTGCAACAGGTACTCTGAGAGAGAACTCTATCAACATCAGAGGCCCGAGATTGTTCAACACGCTTCCACTACACATAAGGGGAATAACTGGCCGACCCCTCGCAGTGTTCAAGAGAGAACTGGATAAGCACCTCCAAAGGATACCTGATCAACCAGGCTGTGACTCATACGTCAGGCTGCGAGCAGCCGCGTCCAACAGCCTGGTTGATCAGTCCGGCAACCAGGAAGCCTGGTCGACGACCGGGCCGCGGAGACGCTAAGCCCCGGAAGCACCTCAAGGTAACCTCAAGGACTGTTGTTGTTATAGATTCAGCTACTCTGAACAAATTCCAAGTAGCACGGGCTATGGTGAGCCCGTAAATTACCTGACACAGGAGCGGGGCAAGTAGCACAGGCTATAGTGAGCCCGTAGTGGACTTACCTGGCACAGGAGCGGGGCAAGTAGCACGGGCTATGGTGAGCCCGTAGTGGACTTACCTGGCACAAGAGCGGGGTTTATCCGACGATTTGCATGAACCTTATACACCTGACTGTACGTAAGCCTATATGTAAGGGTGCCAATTTTGGAGGAAATTGGTTGATGTCAACCTCAGCCACAGATGACAGCACCTTAGACTTCATTTCTTCATTACTTTCTTTCAAGTAACATAAACGTAACTACTACTCTTTCAATTTTTATTCAATTTACATGAAACTTACACCAGATATAGATTACAGTGATAGGGTAAAAACGGGAACGAAAACAAAGTGTGCGTCTTCTAGCAGAATTAATAAAATGATAACAAATACATTGCAAGAAAAAAATGAGATGAGAGAGATTAGTAAGTATATTAAAGCACATTGGTATATTAAAGCTCTGATTGATTACATGGCTCTTGATGAACATTGTTAAGACTCTCCCTGCACTGTACAGAAAAATAATTTCAGACAATTTGAAATATGCATTCCCGAATGTTGAAAATGCACTCAACTGTGTTCATGTGCACGATGGTGACCAACTGTTCAAGAGAATGTTCTTTTTCATGACTTAAACTTAAAAAAACTTTGCTTAGTAGCAGACTGGGGAAGTATCGTTTGAACTGGCTTTCAGTCATCTTGATGTTATTTTGAGTTGATTTCGGGGCTTTTTTAGTGTCCCCGCGGCCCGGTCCTTGACCAGGCCTCCACCCCCAGGAAGCAGCCCGTGACAGCTGACTAATACCCAGGTACCTATTTACTGCTAGGTAACAGGGGTATAGGGTGAAAGAAACTCTGCCCATCGTTTCTCGCTGGCGCCCGGGATCGAACCCGGGACCACAGGATCACAAGTACAGTGTGCTGTCCACTCGGCCGACCGGCTCCCCGACAGGTAGCCGGCCGACCGGCTCCCGACAGGTAGCCACCACTGGGAGCTTTGGGCTCGACCCAGTCAAGTGGGAGGGGGAACAGTCAGGAGAGGTAATTAAAGATGAAGCCAGGTCTGGGCCCTATCTTCACTGTCTCAGGGCACTAGTTACCCACCCAGAAACCTAGGGTTTGAAAAGTAGTTTTAGTTACCAGCATCATTGTTTTAAACGTTCAGGTCCAGAACCAAGGGATGCCACCCACCAGGGCAGCAAGGGAGGCCGAGGCTGACCAGTGCAGGAATGGTGCATCGTCTCAAGCAGTCCCCCACTTTTGAACAGGGAAGTCCTACTGCATCAAACATTCTCCTACACCTGTGTAAAAACCTCTCTCCCTCTTGTCCCAACCAAGACAACTCTACTAGTTTCCAAGGGCGGCCCATCCAGCGGGTGGTCCAATGATCTGAACAGGTGCCTTGCGTTTGTTTTGCAGACTCCAGTCCTATAAACCCCCCATCTTCAAGAAAAGTTGAAGCTTTTTCTTACAAACATTGACACTAGCTCTCCACATGTCAGTTGCGTAATTTAGAAACTGTACTTGTGGTCGATCTCGAACCCATTGATGATGTGACGACTTGTACTGAATTTTCTAACTACATTAGCTCATCAAGATTAACTTGCTTAGCTAAATGAATTCTTAATGAAAATGGGGTTCAGTTCCTGAGCCCATTATGTGCCTCTGTAACCCTTTCCACTACCGCCCACAAAATGGGTATGGGGTGCATAATAAATGAACTAAACTAAAAACTCTAAGTATACCTTATTTTATAATTACCAAGATAAAAACTTCCAAACATTTAGAATATAAACAGTAAACACACACAAATTAATGACCACTCAGTATAACTTAAGTACAGCCCAATATTCTTATCAAGATCCTTTCCCTGTAGTTCACACTTTCATTTAATATCTGGGAAAATTTTTAATTTTGCTGATCTTCCCTTTGTGTAACCCCAGTCTCGTCTTACCTGCTACTTTACCTCATCTAATAGTGCTTGGTCACTTCAATTTGATACAAAATGGATACTTAACATTTTCTTCCTCAAAGCAAGACCTAATGTTTATGTTGCCTTTGCTGTGTTTTGTAACTTGCCTGATGTACTGTTACAGGAATGACCCAGTTACCATCTTCTTGAAGTTATCTTGAGATGATTTTGGGGCTTTAGTGTCCCGCGGCCCGGTCCTCGACCAGGCCTCCACCCCCAGGAAGCAGCCCGTGACAGCTAACACCCAGGTACCTATTTTACTGCTAGGTAACAGGGGCATAGGGTGAAAGAAACTCTGCCCATTCTTTCTCGCCGGCGCCCGGGATCGAACCCGGGACCACAGGATCACAAGTCCAGCGTGCTGTCCGCTCAGCCGAGCGGTCGTACCATACTGAGACCTCTCGACTATTTTCAACTGTTCTGGCTTCATATGTTGCATTATCAATTTAAATTGTTAAAATAACCCTCTTAAGTAATTTTATTATTATCCAGATGCTATAGTATTAGGTCCAAGTAATTCCACCATTGGTTCATGTCCATTTATAAATGAATGGTGGTCAATGCATAAAAAATAATAATTACAATTACCAGAGATCTGCATTGTCGTAACTTCTGCATCATCTAGATTAAGTAGTCCAATTACATTAATTATTGCAGGACATCTTACTGAATAATTACTCCTCTACCTTCTTCAAAGTCCCATCTCTTCCTCAAACTTGGTAATATTTTACACACCATTTAACATTTATATCTAACTTGGTTTTTCCAAACACAACAATATAAAATAAAATTATGTATTCATTTATTCAAGGTACATAAAATAGTACTGTTCAGGTGTGTTTTCATTCAAACCCCATATTTTGCTGTTGCACGTAAATTAAAAAACTCCACAATATTTTCACTTCAAGTTCGTCCATTATGCATGACCCAACATACCATATATCATATCATATCAAGGCATTAAATTGGGACAAGATTTTCCATTCATATAAATGAAAGCTGATAAATTCTGAATGTCTACCTGACCCTTACACTGTCCTAATTACTACAGTATCTGCAATTACCTCCTGTGCAGAAATTACCATATGCAACTCTTTTTCTCATCTGATATGTCAAGTATTTCTTGTCAGGCTCACTACCATGTAGTATTGTACTTTTAAGTAGCCGAACAGTCCAAGGGGGTTAAGCAATAATTCTGCACAGCCTAACTGTATGGCATTTCTATACAATGCTGTACTATATTGTATATGGCTTCAATATTACACATATACTTATTGATTTTTAGAAAGACTGATATTTTCTTACCCTGGATTTACATTGTAGACTGTACTTGTAACAAGATAGGAATACTGTATCTTTCAATATTAGGCTTGCATTAGAAAACAAAGGGAATTAAAATACATTTTATAATGATCTATACATTTATTGACACAATTCACAATATCTCACCTTACTAGAGTGGAGAGATGAGATAACTGATGGAATGTGACCGGACAACCAACGAACTTCCTTAAACAGCATCACAACTCTGTTTGAAGAGGTTATCGCACCTAAACTAAGATGAACAGGAAAGATGCTTCATCACCCTAGCATTAACATCAAGAAGTACACATAGTGTGGACTGTAAGCAAACTGTATATAATATAAAATTTTACATTCAAACAATGTTTGTTACAGAACATCACTATTGTATCTATTATACAATAATACCTTAAAGAAAAAATATACACTAACTCATGATTTATAAAATCATTGTTGAACCTATGAATGCCCATCAGGGAAGTCAAGATGGGTAGGGCTGGGAAGAGGCCGAGTGGGGGAGGCAGAGAAGGGAGTGTGAAAGGAGGGGGATCACCTGGCTAAACAAAGTGGCGACTGAAGGCACGTCCTGAATTCTTCATTCTCCGACAGACCACACTTCTAGTTTAGTCCCCACATGAGTGTACTTCACACACAGCTTGGAGTTTTCCTTGCTCGGTCCAGAAGGTAATCCTGTGAAATCCAAGGATATATTACTTTATAGTACTTATCAGTATTTCTTACAACCTAACTATCTAACTGACAAAGCACATTAATATTTTGGTATTCTAAACAAGGAATTGAGTGAAATTTTGTTTGGTAAAGGTCACAAGGAAACAAAGGTTTCAAACATGAGATTCACAAAGCCCACCGATATATACCAGATTTATCCTTCATTTTATATGTAATGTCTTTTTTTTAAGTTTTGTTAACTTACTGGTATATATCAAGCAGGCATATAGTGCACAAGAAAACCATACTACAATGAGAAACATGTACATAAAATGTAAGAGAAACTGTGCAGAACATATATCCACTCAATATCATGGACTGGAAAAGATGAAGTCCTACAGAGACTGTTCTCCCTATCTGCACTGTACCGGTATATTAGATGAATCGAACAATTTTTTTTACCTTCCAGTAATACCAATATGCCCTTTCAAGCAAACAAAAGTCCATTCCAATAGGTTACTGTTCCTCTACATGAATAATTTTATGATAGGGTTTGCTGTAAAGCACGTTTTCATGGTCACTGTAAAACACCCACTTACCTCTAGAGACAAATTAAGTGGTACAGACAAAGCCTTGTTCGGCTACACCAACGACAATAGGCTCGACTGGTAAGACAGTAGGTGTGGTCAAGAAAACCTGAATTATTGGATCAGGACAATAAATATGAAATAAATACAAAAGCTTAAAACAATACAGATGAGTAAATCCCAAATGACCTAAATGATATTTGTGATAGACTATAAGTAAAGATTCTTCACAATGTCAAATCAAATCAATGTACAATACAGTTACTCTATTAAATTTACCCAGACCTTAACATGGCATCTTTTGGTTTGTGTGTGTTGAGTTGTTTAAAATTACATTGCACATTGAAATGTATAGTGCCTCTGCCCACTGAAATTTAAACTAACACATTATTTTGGGCAAAAAGCCCGTAACATTTAAAGACATTGCCCTGTTTACACATATCTATACGTGTCTCTAGAAATAGAAACCTTACCTCAATATGCATGAAAAATGATTCCCCTTCACTGAGAGATATTGATGCTCTAAAGTAGACAAGGCAGAGGACTGCAGCCGAGCAGGCATTAACACGGTACTGGTATTCATGCCCATAACCACAAAGTGTCAAGGTTATCAAATACTTGCCACAAAATCCACTAAATTCATTATTTCTCACTCGTGGCCATTGACAATGGTAAGTTTTGGGTAGAAATAATCCTAGTGGAGGGATGAATGAAATCTGTCAATTTAGGTGATTGAGGTAAACTTGAATTACGATTAAACAAAAAAAGCACCAACTTCCATAGTAGCCATTATCACACTTAATCCAGCTAGAAACATTTCAAGTTGTAATAAGAAAACCACTATAAAAAAATACAGTATGTATATAATTGTAATACAATACCAATAGATTAAACAAAAAGTTATAACTGACCAAGATGTAGCCCGAGACTGTCATATTCCAGATGGAAGAGAGAGAATGATAAACAATGAAGAAAATAATTGCTTTATTTTTACATTGAGATGTTACGTTTTGGTAAATATATGGTAGTGGTGCAGTAATGGTGGCATGGTAGCAAGGGAAAGATGTTGTTCTTACTTAGTCTAGGTCTTAATGCTCTGCTTCCTCATTTTTGCTGGTAACTTAACACTGCACTGTTAACCAAGTACTGTTCTATGCTCAATCAGATTTTTATAGGGTCTAATCCCACTAGTTAGCCGAATTTACACTTGGAAAGTCCCAAAATCATAAATCTGAATTTATTCAGGTTTTTGTCCCCCAGAAATCTCAGCAATCCAAACTTTTATTTAACTTGAGGTCAAAATTAATGAATTTATTCAGATTACCTAAAGATTAGGGTTTCTGGAATTCAGATTACAGAGGTCTTACAGAAAGTAACTATAAAGAAAAGTCGACGTCGGGAAGACTGCATTGTTGGTTATTCAAATGGCATTAAATATCACTCAAGATGCCAATAAGAGAGCAAAGGGACAAAAGGCAAATGGTATCAAAGGTACTGTACTGGATTTGCCAAGGATTTTAATGAGGGACAAATGACCCCTAGTAAGAAAATAAGACATACTATAATCCTGAATATCAAGACATTCTACAAGGTGGTTGGTGTACAATTAAGTGGGACGGAACAGTTATGACAAGAAAACAAAAATTAGACATGATAAAGAAAGGGATAAAAAAACTAGGCAAGATCTGAATCAGAGAAATCAGGGTTGGGGGTTATGTATAAAGCTAGCAAAGATGGTTGGGTCAAGAAGGCTGCAGTGAGAAGCACAGGCGAATCAACAAGGTCCAGTGAAGGAGTGATCAAGGTATTCGGGCTGATGAAGGTCAGAAACGACGTACTGCTCCAGAGCAGGGGTGGCATCAGAGAAAACAACAAGGGCAAAGCAAACTTCCATAGCATTGTCAGATAGCTCTGCTACTGAGACACATAGTGGTGAAGGAACAAGAATGAAGGTAGAGGAAAGACTAATGCCGACTTACCCTCAGGGAAGGAAGAGGGAAAAGGACCAGGCTTACATTTCTGATACACACACATGCAGTAGCATCAAGGTATTGTAAGATAGTCACTTTAATCTTGGGCAGGGAGGGAGAATGAGAACAGCGACACAAGGATGGATATCAGCCCAGACAGTCATATGCAGGGGAAGGGTCAAAAGATAAAGGGAAGAACTGAGAAGGAAGATGGGACCGAGAGTCGAAGAGGGAAGATAGGACCGAGAATCGGAGAGGGAAGACAGGACCGAGAATCGGAGAGGGAAGACAGGACCATTGTGGATAAAGAAGAGCAAAAAGGTGGAGAGGCGATGTGAAAACGACAGGCAGGGGGGAAAACTGGGACGGCAAGGAAAAAATGCCAGCCAATGACAGAGGAAAATCCACAATGAGACTATAGGGGAACAGGGAAGCTTGTGGTGGTTGGGATTCTAGACATGTAAGCAGTAGTGGGGCCTAAGGAGAGGGTAGAGGAGTGTTATGTAATAAGTCATGGCAGAAAAGGAAGACGCTGACATCTCGCCGCAGCGAAGATATGCAATTTTGGTGTTTAAAGTGGAGGATAGCTTGTTTAAATGTTTAAATTTATTACGTAGCTAAGAATGAAAAAACAGGGTGGAAATCACAGCAATTGATGCAGTGAACATGGGAAGAACATTCCGACCTAGAATGGTCGGAGGCCCCTCACAAGGAGTAAGAAGACACCTCACTACTACATTGAGGCTCCATGCCAAAATTTCCAAGACCTATTGCAGAAGCATGGAGAGAGGAACTTATCCTTGAGTGGAGTAGTTAGCACCACCAAGAATTACCAAAGACAGGAGGGTAAAATTGCCTTAATCCCCTTATGGGGGTGATAACGCCTACTAGAAGGGGGCTGAGTGAACATGGTAATTTGGAGGCCAGGATAACCCAGGACCTCAAGTACATACTTAATATCCTCATGGCAGTCCTTAAGTTCCCTGTCTCCTGTCTCGACAAGGAATGAGAACGACTGTGCTTATGTTGGCATTTAATAGCATTCTTGGAGACCCAAACTGGGGGCCTCACCCATGTGAGATAGAGCAGCTAGGCAAGTGGCCACCTGATGAGAGGGGTGTTGAACTATATGGATGACAGTCCAGATGATATTAAACTTAACATGAGCATCTACAGGATCAATAAGATGTCTGTGTATATGCAATTTGTCAGGGCTGGGTATAGTCATCTTGGAAATCACCAAATTATTTAGGCCACATAGCAGAGCCAATCATATAATGGAATGTACCAGCAACTGTGGTAAATGTCCAGGCACGATGGCAAGGAATGAGTCAGAAGAGATGCTTTCAAAAGTACACATAAGGTGAATCAAACTTTGCTGCCCTGCACCCACCACAGAGCTCAAGAGGCAGCAATGCAAGCTAAACTTCAAGCTGTATTAGCAGGCTCAAAGAAAGTAGTTATGAGTAGTAAAGATACCCGTTTTTTTCTCATTGATAGTAGAGGAGTGTTGTAGTCATTACATAGTTAGACCAGTATTTAAGCATATTGTGAATGATCATGGAGAAAATATTAGGCAAATAAAGAAAAATAGTTATGAAGATTTATGTAAACCCCTTCACATGCTGGATTTGAAACCAAGACAATAATTAAGTTGATCCAATTGGGTACAGAAAAGTTAAGAGGATGTTAATGATTGACTGCAGTAACACACTTAAGCATTACCCAATAAGAAACATGAGCTCATCCTTTACATATGGCAGGGGTAAAGTCTACATGGAAGGACACAGTGAACATGAGATTAAGACTAGGGTATAAATATCACGGCCAATATGGCAATGGTCAGTAAAAAAAAGATTGGAATGTAAATTATGCATCACCCTGAATGCCACATGCTCACAGAATGATTACACTGTATTCTGTTGTAAACTGCTTGATTTCCATATAGAAAAAAAAAAAAATTAGTAATGTACCATATCAAATTGTTGGGATGTATGATAATGGTATGTTAGAGAATTCTTAAGAAGCTCAAACACTTTGCCCAAATGTAATACAGTACTGTACTAAAATTCTTGTAATATATTTTGAAATGTGATGATAATGAATTACTGTAAATGTATTTGTAATGAACAATATGATTTTTATTTGTGTACTGTATAGATTTGTAAGCCCCTTGAGGGACCTGAAATAAAGAGGGTAGAAATACCCCAAGCTACTCTTATCCTTCTGGGATGGATTTTATTATCTCGATAAATTGTCTTGAACCTGAACTTGTGTAGCCAATAGGCAACCTCAGGGATAACAGAGGCAGTATATGTGGGTCACTATTGAAAGGTCTGAAGAGTATCCCAGGGATTGATAGGCATACCAACCCCACAATGCCCATTTACCGGATATCTCTATGAACCAACTGATTCAGTTGGGCCACGCTGTGGACCTCCCGTTTTACCCGTCTCCCCCACCACAGAAGCGTGTTGCTTCCCAGAGACCACAGCTACTGTGTTGACTCAACCAGATGAAAGAACACTTGTGAATGCATGGGTTCCCATGCACAACAAACACAAGAAGTGTATCGTACTTGTGCACCACTTCAGGAGACAAGAGAGGGGAGCAGGAGACACTCCACCTACCAGCGGACAGCACACAAGAGCCCCTAAGCATGTTGAGGAAATACTCACTGAAGGAACATTGTAATGTTAACTCTCGATGTTTGTATTTTGTGTCCTATTATCTTTTTTGACGTGAATTGAGGTGGCATCCACATCTTCATTCATTGCATTTTATCTGTTGACCATTCATACTCAGTATGTGCATTGCACTTTTCCTGCAACATTTCTATGACATGATACGTTTCGAAGTTATGCCGATACCCTTTTGTAATAGTTTCAAGCAGGACAGTCCTTGTTTGCCTTGTCCATTCACCTCAGCATCTTTAAAACTGTATTCATATACTCCTATTCCCCTCTGTTCCCCCCTCCTCTATGGGTATTAGGTTGAGTTGAGTTAACCTGTCATAATTGCCAAATGCTCTTAAATCAAGCTAATGTTCATACAGTGTTCTGTGCTACTGGCACCTCTACTCTTCAATGGCTCTATTCTGCATTTCCTTCCACATTGTTAACTCTTAGTATGTTGTTTACTGTATAAATTTGGGACCTGACCCTCTAGTATTTTCTAAGAATATATTATTTGGAATTGTGGTGGCTTCCACCATCTGTGGTTAAAGCAGCCTGTCCATGTGGGACTACATGTGTGCATCTACATTGGCTGATACCTCGCAGTACAGCTGAGGGAGACCACCTTCAGGGAGACCCAGAAAACTAACAAGTACAGGAACCTAGAATGTTATTACAAGTTTGTGCCGATAGACTCTGAAACCTTGGGGTAAATGTGCACATAAGTTCCTAAAGGCGGTGGGTGAGGAACTCATTAGGAAAACTAGACACAAGAGCGGCCAGTTTCTCGTTCCAGCGCCTGTGTGTTGCGATCGAGAGAAAATGCGTGTTGTATCTTGGGCACGCACCCAACCTCCGACGAGCTGGATGAGGTATTCGAACAGTAATATATTATATATAATTATATAATAATTATATATATATATACACACATATATAATTATATGTTGTTGAATATGACCAAAAGGGTAAGATTAAATCTAACAAATGTTCTCAATATTTCTTACGTTCTTCTTCACTGTCGAGGGTAATTGATAAAGTAACTCTCC